CTGGAAAATAAACTAAAAAAATGAGAATGAAATGAACAAAAAATGCCTTAGTATTATTATGAAAATAGTTTTGTCCTCACAGACCCCTCCCCCCAAAAAAAAGGTCTCAGGGACCCCCAGGGGTCCCTGAACCACACTTGGACAACAACTGTCCTAGGACAACTGCTGAAAAAGTGCACCAGGAGACAGTACAAGAAAGTCATTCATTCCTCAAATATTTATTGAGCATCTACCTGGTGCCAGGCATTTCTAGACACTGGGAATATGGCAGAGTACAAAGAGGCAAAACTCCTGCCCACACATAGCCTACATTGTAATTGGGCAGATGTTCATAGCAGCATTGTTTGTAATAGCAAAATGCAGAAAACAATCCAAATCTCCATAAATAGAAGAATGGATAAATTGTGAAACAGTCATACAATCAAATACCATACAGCTGTGAAAACATGAAATACAGTTACATGCATAAACATGGATGGGAATTTCAAAAACAATGTCAGAAAAAAGAGGTCATAGAAGAATACATACAGCATGATTCCATTTACATAAAAGTTCAAAAACAAGAAATCTAAACAACATATTATCAGGAATACATACATATATGGGAGAGTCACAAATCAAAACATGGGAAATTATTAACAAAAAATCCAGAAGAATGTTTACCTTATATAATCTATGGAGGGAGAACAAATGGGGGATTCTAGGCAGCTGAGAATGTTCTAGTTCTTAAGCTGAAGGTTGAGTACATGTGTGATCATGTTTTTTAAAACCATACATACACAACATACTTTTGTGTGTACTATTTCACAACAGACATTTTAAAAGAAAAAAGATAAGGTTATGAAATATGTAATTTCATCAACAAAGAGAGAACATTGGATATTTCAGCCACTACTGTGCTATGCAAATCAGCTAATCATAATAATGGGGGGAGAAATATAATATGAAAAGGAAATGAGTATGGACTATTCTTCACAGAAGTTAACTAGATTCCCACAGGGTCAAGATCCAATGAGAGTGCAATATTATAGCACTGTTCTTCCAAGTCTGCTTGGAGTCACTGGCATGACTCTGGTTAATTGGTTACTTTGTTCTCTGGGTATAATTATTTGTATAAAGCAGATAATGAAATGATAGGTGATACAAATTCCAAATAAATTGACAAAGACACCACCTCTTTACTGAATTCTGTTGACTTTCAAAAGCACAAATTTCCTTTCACACATTCTCCTAATAATGCATTTATATATTTAGTATTCAAAAAATACAGAAAGTGCATGGCAGCAACTGACCATTGCACGTTTTTTTCCACATTGCTCAATAACAGGTGCCTCGCTGGTCACACAAATGTTATAAGAATTTTGCAATCATGTTTTTACCAAGGTTATCAATGTCAATGCCATTTTGTAGACTTAAGAAACAGTTAAGATGCAATTTCTCCTGATTTCAGAAAACTAGCCAGAAATTTTGATATACAATTTTAAAATCTTCAAAAATTAAATGGATCTTGAAATAATCAATGCATCCCCTGTATCTAAACAGGGCAGGTTAAAGTTACTATCTTGGGTTAGGAAGTTGCAGGGAAATAGAAAGTATATTCTCCAGGTCCAATCTCTCAAAATGGGTCTAACACAGGGGTGCCAGCTCAGAAAGTTCCAGGTATTGCTGTAGCTATTTTTAAAATCCTAGGCAGCTACAAGACCTAGAATCTTACCCACATGTAAGCTGGACTGGACAATGCCACCAGGGGGTGCTAAACCACAACTGGCAGGATGATTTTGAATTAAGCCGTTTTATTTTCATATCTCTGCCCACTCATGCTATGTTTTGTTATAGCAGACGATAAACATCATGGCTGTAGCTTTTTGCCCCTACCCCAATATGAAAAGAGAAGAGGAGGTAACTCCTTTTAGATTCTCAGAGATCTTCTACTCTATCTTCTCAGTAGGAAGAATGGATAATCTTTTTGGTTGGAGCTGGACATTTGTTGGACTATAATTTACTAGTGGACAGGGTTATTCCATGTTCAAAAACAAACACCGGCTGCTACCTTTCATCTTTAACCTGTATGTGCTCATACCGAAAGGTATGCCTTCCTCAATTCTCATGCTCAGGAATGATGGATCTTTTAGCTTCTTATATCTGAGTGGTAAGAAGATCATGAAGGGGAAGTGGGTAGAATGGTGTGGAGATGGGGGCACGTTTCCTTTCCTGTGACATCTTCCATATCTGATATGCCACCAATTCATACTTTCTTCTCTTTTATATGTAAACACCTTGACATCTCCAGGCACTCTTCAAATATTTTTTGAACAAGCAAAATCAGTAAACAAAGAATACTTCTGTAACCTTCACAACCTCATCCCTGTGACTTCCCAGCATTCTCTCTAAGACCAAAGGCTTTGTAACCCTGCATTCTCAAGACTTTTTGAATGTGCGGTGTTGGCAGTAGTGGTAGCAAGATTGTGAATTTTTTTTTTTTTTTTTTTTTTTTTTGAGACGGAGTTTCACTCATGTTACCCAGGCTGGAGTGCAATGGCGCAATCTCGGCTCACCGCAACCTCCGCCTCCTGGGTTCAGGCAATTCTCCTGCCTCAGCTTCCTGAGTAGCTGGGATTACAGGCACGCGCCACCATGCCCAGCTAATTTTTTGTATTTTTAGTAGAGACGGGGTTTCACCATGTTGACCAGGATGGTCTCCATCTCTTGACCTCGTGATCCACCCGCCTCGGCCTCCCAAAGTGCTGGGATTACAGGCTTGAGCCACCGCGCCCGGCCTAAGATTGTGAATTTGATGATTAAGTAGCAGGCCTTTGCTCAATCCAATGTATCCAAAATACCAAATATATAAAACAAAAGAACCTCAAGCTCAGTTGCAGATGCCCTTTGCTGAGATTAACAGGTCCACGAGTGGACATTTTCTTGATAATTAGCTCTGCAGAAAACAGGAGAGAAGCAAATTGATACTAATGAGATGTAGAAATCTATTTTGAACAGGAGGCTGGTGTTCTCAAATTTTATATCCTTTTTTTGCTTTTTTTTGAGATGGAGTTTCGCTCTTTGCCGAAGCTGGAGTGCAATGGCGTGAACTTGGCTCACTGCAACCTCCGCCTCGCAGATTCAAGTGATTCTCCTGCCTCAGCCTCCTGAGTAGCTGGGATTGCAGGCGCCCACGACCACGACCAGCTAATTTTTGTATTTTTAGTAGAGATGGGGTTTTGCCATGTTGGCCAGGCTGGTCTTGAACTCCTGACCTCAGGTGATCCACCCGCCTCAGCCTCCCAAAGTGCTGGGATTCCGGATGTGAGCCCTTCATTTGGTTTATAGAATTTATTGATTTTCCCCCAGAGTTTGTAGTTTGTGTTTTTCTAGGAATAATCTAAGTTTTTTTCTAAAGTTACAGAAATAATCTAGGGACTAACAACTATCACTACAAAACTTAGAAGGGAGGTTTGCCAATGTCATCTCATTTTCCTGAGTGTAAGAATCTTTTGTCCTACAAACTTAGAGGTGGTAACAGTGACCTGACCTGATATGTAACAGAATCCAATGCAGTTCCAATCCTGGTATCCACGTCCTTCAGCAATTCCCTGAACTTCTATAGGTAGGTAATTTCTAGTGTCAGACAGAGATTAATTTTTGACAGTTTTAGGTCATTTTGATCATCCAATGATAAATCCAGCAATGCCTATAACCTCAATCAAAGGCTAATAACCTCAAAATCCAGCGATGCCCATAACCTCATTAAAGGCTACAAACTTTCTTTTCATTCCTTTTTTTAAAACAAAGCCTGATCTGGTAGAAGAGCCTTTTCAAATCAAACACCTTCAATACTAAACCTCTTATCCCAGAACTTCTCTCAACCTAATAGCAGGACAGGGTAAGACAAAGCTAAAGAGTTTACATTTCCTTCAGATACTTAGCAAATCTGCAAAAATCTCTTTCCTTTTCAAAGTCTCCTTCCCATTTTGACCCCGATTTAGAAGTGAGGAGTGGGAATATGAAGAAATGTGAAGGTAACAATTTTCTTTACCCACTTGTTAAAATATTTATGTACCAGTTAACTAGCCAGCTAACATGGAAGGGGTATAAAGACCCAATCTCTGCCTCAAAGACCTACTATCTAGCAGAGGGAGAGGGAAATGCTACCAAATACGGGCACTAAGATTTTAGACTGCTATGACAGAAGATGTAACAAAGGACAGTAGGAGAACAAAAATAAGTGGTTAAATCTACCTGGTGGTGGAGTATGTCAGGAAAGACTTCTTCAGGTTGGCAATTTGGCTTCAATCTAGGCAAATAATGAATGGGGCCAGGTGGAGTAAAGAAGGGGACCACAGACAAGAGGAGGTGTGTAAAGACAGACAGAGAGCATGGTATCATAGACACTATAAAAATGAGGAAGTGCCAAGAGAGTGGACAAAAGTTTCAAATGGCAAGATTAAATATGATGAAAGAGTTCCCTGGATTTGGGAAATGGGAGATTATCCCTGAACTTTGCTAGAGAGCCATTTCAATGGAGTAGCAGGTCAGAAGTCTGGCTGCTGTGAATTTAAAGGAATGAAAAGAATAAAGAAAAATATTTTAGAGTAAACAAAAGACAACAAAAAAGGTGATGACAAGTTTACAGTACTTCTTGGAGCCATTTGCCTTTTTACTTTCAAGCATATTAGTTCAGGTATGACAAGGGTTACATAGGATTTACATTTCTATGAGAAAATGACTCCCAACTGCCATCTTAAACACTTAACAACAAGTTTTTAAATACGATCCATTCTTAATTTAAAGGCTGCCTATATTATTTCAAACAATACAGGCAGCCTTTTAAATATGTGTTTAATAATTATTAAATGTGTTCATTATTAAACATGTTTATTAAACATGTTACTATATGTTTAAATACTAAATGTTATTTTAAATATAAAATCAACATTTCTACAGATTTACTCTGCCGTCACTAACTTTTCTTTCATATCCTTCAAAATAAATAACACCTGTAATTGTTTATAGTAGAAAAGGTGCTTTATTTTACATATCATTGGTACACAATACATAAAACTGCCTAAAATCAGTCTTGGAAAATACAACAGTCAGTCAGTTACACCTTAAAGGGTCAAAGACCAAGCCTATTTTGGAATCTACTTCATTTATGATCAAATGACTACAATTTTAAATACTAATAATCTCTTCAAATCCAATGTTACAAATGATTTTTATGTTACAAGGGCTGTAATTTTTTTTAAATAAAAATATCTTTAACTATAGTAGACCTTATTTCTAATCAGAATGAATCTTTGCTAGTCTACAAGTCTTTGACATAATAGATCAACAGTTTCACCTTCCTATAGATAACTGTATTTATGTAATTGAGTAATGAGGCAGGGGTCCTTCATACATGCAATCAGATTATTTCAATTAAAAAATGCAGATAAAATTGAGTTTATATATACCCTATGTCTAATTAAGTTGACGAAGAAGTTTATTAAACTAAAATGAAGCCAATATGATATTTTAGAAAACATAATTCTGAGAGCATGCAGCATCAAAAATATTTTTACTACTTATGAGAGCCAGAGTTGCAGAACACGGAAGAGGGCTGGCACAAAGGCTTGTTACATCTGAATTGCTTATCCAACTTGGAAGAATAAAAAAAGTAATTTAACTCAGTGCAAATCCTATGAAAAATATCTGCATGATTTAGCCTACTGCTACACAAAGGGATCTTCACTTAGAAAATGTGCAAATCATAAGAAGCTAAATGTACTTCTCTTACTGTTTACTCCAATTCAGTCTATTCATTGACACACACAGCTCTAAGATCTCTTAACTATCAATTTTGTCAAAGCCACAGATATTTCTTAATGGCATTTTTCAGTCACCAATCCCTTATCACAGAGATGAGTATGACTGGTGCTTAAGGTACAAATGCCAAAAAAAAAGAATCAGGGCTAATTCTCAAGGCAAAAACATTTATAATTTTAACAAATCCCTCGCTATAGAAAGACTTCTCTTCCCTCTAAAAGTAAGTCATTGTTAGAACCACAGGCTCAGAATCACCTCCTGGTTCAGAACAGTGGAGGCTTTTAAGCAAAGTAAACTGAATCAAATACTAAATAGGTATAAATGTGCATACTCAAAAAAATATTCTATCCTTTGCTTAAAATCAACTTATTCCTTGTCATTAGAAGAAGTGCTTCAAGATGCATGTTGTTAATTAATGCAGAGAAGAAGGGGTTAAAAGCCAAACTTTTCCTATTAAAGCAACAGATCTTTAAAATAATTGGGCTTGAAACATACACTTTTAGTATAACTTTCCATTCTTATTCTTTTTATAATTAAGTATACACATATACACGACAAACCCTAATATTTAATATGTGCAAAATTGCTTATCATGTATTTTAACTTTGGTTAAGTATTTGTTTAGCCAATATCAGAAACATTACAGAAGCTAGACAAATGATTACAAACATAATAATGAGGTAAGTTAAAATTCTACTAGTGCAAAAAGCAAGCATATGCCAAAAGCAAAGCATATGAATTAAAAAAATGCAGAATGAAGCTCTCACCAAGGGTGTTGCTGGGATAACAAACCAGAGAAGCTCCTTGTAAACATTGTAAATTACACATTTAAAGAGTAAAGATTCATACAGCCACAAAAAGGTATTCTAACAACACCATAGTAGTGCATTTATTTTATCTTTAGAGTTTGGAAACCACTCATCATGTGTCTAACAATTTGCATATTTTCTTCAAGAGAAACTTAATTAATGAGACACATTAATTACAAATACTGTAGTATAAAAATCCCAGTTCTTTACAAAAATTATATATTAAAATATTCTATACACTTTAAATTAGTAACTGGAACACACATATATATCAATTCTGCACAATTAAATCCATCTTTGCTAGGGGGGTATTATACATGAAATTTGAGGACATAGCTACTCAGTCAACCTAAACTGGCATAAGGTTATATGGCATTAAAAAAAGATAGAACTGTTCCCCTGCAGTTACTGAAGCTCTTAGTTTGAAATATCTTTTCTGCAATTATTGCTCTGTATATTAATTCCAGATTTAAATAGGCAGTGGAACCATGAAATTCCTAAAGGTTTAAAACAAGTTACCTATAGCAGAGTGTTTATAATGCCTATCTGTAACTTTAAGGTTGTAATGGAACCTGAGTTAGCTGTCTAATGCTTATATTTTCATAGTAAAAAAGTTTATACAATTTCAAGGTAAAAACAATGCAAAAATAAAACATTTAGAGCATTTACAAAAATGTTACAAATGTTTAAAACACTATTTTAAAACTTGTGTCCTGTTAAGGTGCCTGTTTCTTTCTGCAATGGGAGGATATATACTTTAATTTTGAATTTTCAATTATGAAGATTTTAATTTTAGCAAAAGTAAAATCAGAGCCATTAAGACAGATGAAAATGTTCAGGGATATACTTCTACTAAAAACACAAAACTTTAGTGCTGAAAGTGACCTTAAAGGTAAACTGTTTTAACTCCCTCATCTGTTATGAGAAAAATGACGGCCAGATAAGTGCTTTGGCCAAAAATATATTCAAATATATTGGCGTGGTAGGAATCAAGAAAACTCAAACTTGCCTCCTTCTTTTTTAATTTCTTAAGCTCTGTGCTAACTGTAAACAAAGAAAGGAATCAAACGACTACTGGAATTATTATAGTATCACACATATTATCCAAAAGAAGATAGTTGTTAGAGGAACACTGCTCATATAGAAGATAGAGGGAGTACTCAAAGATGGGACATTTACATTATAGAGAACATTTACTATATAAGACAGCATAGCATACAACAGCCAGTTACTAGAATCATCTCAATAACTCTAGGATGACTGGGTTACATAGCCTTTATAAAAGATATTGGGGTAATAAAGCTTTCTAGATTTCATCTTAATTTCACTGTTTTTCTTTATAAAAGAGCTATATCTGTAAGGAAAAACTCATATACTAATTTTCAGAAAGTCTTTGCTTCTTTTCTTTTATTTGGATCTAGAATTCAGCAAATACATTTTACGAACAATTTACAAACTAAAGTTCATAACTGCTGGAAATACAGTCAGAGAATACTCTTTTAAATGACAAATCTTCGTAACCAGTTACTAATAAATAATCATCATCACAATAGATAGTTTCAGTAAAAAAAAAAATTCAATTTAAAGGTGCTTTCTTATTGTTACCTTGAAGCCACCGAACTTGTGTAGCTGGTCCATATCCCTTTTCATTCTTTGCTGATATCCTGAACACAATGGCAGGCCTGGATGTATAATCAATATGTGCATTTGCAAGTTGCCCAGCAGTTACTATACATGATGTCTTAAGACCACAATAAATCCTCATGAACACAAGTTGATTTGGATTATCTTGTATCTGTGATGTGCGGATAGCCAAGTAGGCCGAATATTCCAAAATATTTCCAGAAGGTGAAGTTGGAGGTTCCCAGGAAAGGTGGATACCTTCAACATTCTTGACGAGTGGGGGAAAAAACAGGTTAAAGATTCTTAAGTTTCCTCTGTTATCATTTATTATGTTGAGTCTATCTTTAGACTACAAAATGCTCATTTTTTCTAAAGTAATTGCATTAGATATTAGATCCTTTATTGTTGGTTTTTTAAAATCTATCTCATTTGGATCTACAATGTTTAATTCATGCTTGCTTTTCAAAAAAGCATTTTACAGATAAGGAAACTGAGTCTAAGAGAGATTAAACACAACTAGGCTTAAATGTCTGCCTGTAATATCCCAAAACAGGGATTTTTCTTTCCTAAATACAGATCTTTTCTTCTCTAGGGAGTAGGATAAAACATAATCCAGTTTTGAATGTTCTATTAAAATTCTCCAGCCAAATGTTTTTGTTCCATAATAACAAGAACAAATTTAGAAGCATACCAGATTTCTCTGCCTTTCTGTGATTTGGATGCTGTAATTTTGCTTGAAATCACATGGATACATAGAGGGGGACAATATACACTGGGGCCTATCGGAGAGTGGAGGGCAGGAGGAGGGAGAAGATCAGGAAAAATAACTAATGGGTACTAGGCTAAATACCTGGATGATGAAATAATGTGCACAACAAACTTCCATGACACTCATTTACCTTTGTAACAAACCTGCACATGTACGCCTGAACTTAAAAGTTAAAAAAATGATGGATTAGCAAAAGTTACTTTTTAAACTTTTAATCCATCCTTTTAGATATCTCTCATTTCATTAGATGTGAACAAGAATTTCTAAACTGACAGTTTACTTCACATATTAAGTTTCAAATAATTTAAAATCACCAACAAGTCTTGACCCGATGTCTTACCTTTGAAATTCTGACTGCAGAAGGAGCTCCAGGAAAACCAGGAATACAAGTTTTAAATTCACTGATTTTGCTGAAAGGACCTATCCCACAACCATTGATTGCAGCAACCCTGAATCTGTATCCTGTGCCTGGAACAAGATCTTGTTTCTTAAGCAAGCTGTAATCAGGTACATCTGCATTTCCTACCTAAAATGTAGTATATACAAAAGTCAAAGAAAAGATACAACTAATATTGTTAACATTTTAAAATTATTCAATTTTTATTCAACAAAAAAACTTTCAAAGAATAAATTGCAAAATAAATAAATAAATAAATTGTATTTTAAGGTCTGGTTCACATTTATCTCCTTCTCTCTCACATAGAATGAACCCTCCAACAGAGAAGCAACTAAGTCCATAAATCTGTGATCCTTATCCAGAGGGAGCACTCTTTCCACTTGAGAATCACTGATTATACAGAGAAATGTAAGAGCATTCTGCGCGTGAATAATGTGAAAGTAGAAAAAAGCTGACAACCAGTATAAACAAAGTAACAATTATCCCATCATCATGTAAATTTATCTTGAAGCAGCAAGCAATCTCAGAAGATATGCTGTCAAATAATAGTCTGGCCAGGAACAATATCCTTTAGAAACAGGCAGGCAAGATTGACAGAAAAGGAGTGACTAGCAAGTAGTACAGAGTGTTTTAAAAAATCATTAGATTATATACTCTAGGTAGGAAGATAATAGCATTCACAACTTTCAATTTTTACATATTCTCCCTAACTCTCCCAGTTAGAGTGCCAATGCGTTACCCTACTTTAAGGGAGCTATGTCATCTCTATTTTACAGATAAGGAAACTAAGTCAAGGAGAGATTAAACAAGTTGACTTTCCAAGATCACACTACTGAATACTGGGACTAGTAACTGATTCAAAACTAAGTTTACCTGCTCTAAATTTTAGGCGATTTTTTTTCTTTTAGGAAAAATCAGATAGCTACTAGGCCCTTAGACACAGACATGTCTTTATATATGAAATCCAACTACAGTGAGAAATTTCAGTGGCCATAATACTAATTATTAACTAGAATTTCTATTTTTGTCAAGAATTAGAAAAATTCTATATGAAAAAGAGGGATGGATACAAGGAGTAATAGTAGCGAAACATATATATATGTTATAATCCCCATTTGTGCATATCTTCAGGAGATTCAAAATGAACATCTATTTCCTTGGCAATTCTCTCTTAGAAATTCTCCATTTCATAATTTTGTTTTTGAGGGGATGGCATCTCACTCTGTCATCCAGGCTGGAGTGCAATGGCCTGAACATGGCTCACTATAGCCTTGACCTCCTGGCTCAAGTGAGCCTCCCACCTCAGCCTCCCAAGTAGTTGGGAGCAGAGGCACATACCATGCCTCTGATTATTTTTTGTAAGACAGGATCTAGCCATGTTGCCCAGGCTGGTCTTGAACTCCTGGGCTCAAGCTCCTCCCACCTTGGCCTTCCAAAGTACTGGGATTACCAGCATGAGTCACTGCACCTGGCCTTCACACACACAAAAAACTTCAATGTGCTTTGGACCTGTTATCTATTTAATAATTCTTAGAAGGTTAAATGTCTAATTTACATATACGTATATATATAAAATATCTTTTTACGGGGTTTCTGAATTAAGGGAATATTAGATTGTATTTAATAGCATATCAGGGCTTTTAGATTTTTTAAAATTGTAAAATCATGAATAAATTTTTTTTTTCAATAGGAAAAAAACAGTTCCATTCTCTAGACATACTGGTTAACAAAATTAAGAGATATTTCAAAAAACTCTTATCTGTGCTAGTCAGACTAGATTATTTATGACTCAAAACCCAGCTCATTGGCTGGGTATAGTGGCTCATAGCTGTAATCCCAGCACTCTGGGAAGCTTAGGCAGAAGGATCACTTGAGCCCAGGAGTTCCAGACCAACCTGGGCAACATGGCAAAACCCAGTCTCTACAAAAATTAGCTGGTCAGGGTGGCTTGTCCCTGTAGTCCTAGCTACTCGGGAAGCAGAGGTGTGAGGATCCCTTAAGCCCAGGAGGTTGAGGCTGCAGTGAGCTCTGATCACACCACTGCACTCCAGCCTGGGTGACAGAGCAAGACCCTATCTCAAACAAACAACCCACCCTCCAGCTCAGTGACTGTGAAAGTTTTTTTTTTTTTTTTTTTTTTTTAATTGAGAGATAGGTATTGTTATGTTGAAAGGCTGGAACACAGTGGCTATTCACAGGTGCAATCTTATTACACTGTAGCTTCAAACTCCTGAGCTCAAGCAATCCTCCTGACTTAGCCTCCTGAGTAGCTGGGACTGCAGGCATGCTCCACCACACCTGGTTCTAAGATTTTTTAAATGACATCCTTGCGATGTAGTCTACACAAAGGGCCTTAACAAAGAATACAACGTAACTTGGTGATATGATTTGATCTGTGTTCCCACCAAATCTCACGTAGAATTGTAATCCCTAGTGTTGGTGGTAGGACCTGGCGGGAGGTGACTGGATTGTAGGGGCAGAGATCTCATGAATGGTTTAGCACCATCCCCCCTTAGTATTATATAGTGAGTTCTCATAAGATCTGGTTTAAAAGTGTGTGGCACCTCTCCACCCTAACCCACTGCTCCTGTTCCAGCCATGTAAGAAATGCCTACTTTCCTTCACCTTCTGCCATGATTGGAAATTTCCTGAGGCCTCCCCAGAAGCTGAGCAGATGCCAGCATCATGCTTCCTGTATAGCCTACGGAACCTTGGGCCAATTAAACCTCTTTTCTTTGTAAATTATCCAGTCTCAGGTATTTCTTTACAGCAATGTGAGAACAGCCTAATACATTTGGTGTATAGAATTCACAATTATATAGATTGTAGATGGATCCCAATTTTATTCATTCAAGTGACCAGAATCAGGGTTCTAAAAAAAAAAAAAAAAACTCATTCTCAATTATTTTTATTTTTTCCTTTCCCTTTCTAAGTTTTTGGTAGAGAAAGATCTCATCCTTGAGGTTTATAATTCACAAGGTAGAAAATATATCAATACCTACCTTTGAGATGCTTTGCTTCCCTTTTGGCAGCAAATAAAACTGGCTCACCAAAGCTGTATTATTTTTAAAAATTCCCACATCACACCATTGTCGTTCTCCTCCTTTCATTGTGGCCACTGGATTTGAAGGAGTCTCTTTCTAATTACAGAGAAAGAAAAATTTATGAAGACTCTTATTGAATATATGAAAAATTTCAATATTTAATAAGTTCATGCAGTGATCTACAAGTACGTATTTGGATAAACACCACAACATTAACAACTCATAAGTAAATAAAGTCTTAACAGATTAGGTCAACTGACAGTGAAACAGGGATGCCAATTCAAACACAGGAGTGACAGGCATTCTCCAAGTCAGTAGCTCTGTACTATCAACCTAGCTGGAGTTAGCATGCTTTCCAATCAGTGATATGTTAAAATGCCAGCTATTTTATAGAACATTGTCATTTCAGAGACTGTCTCAGAAAATGTAATTCCTTTAGTGTAACATTACAACTTGCTCCAGAAGGAGCAAATAAAAATTCATTCCAAGCTGGCTCATTTCTAGATCCAAAAACAAATAGCAAAAATTCAGTGATCTTTGCACTTGAAATACCTGTGATTCTCCAAACCTAAAAGGAGAAAAAATGTTCAAAACTAAAATGCAATTTGAATATACTTTAGTAATACTAAAGAGGAGTAGATTTTAAACAGTTTTACATTTTTTATCCTGTTTTAAAACAAATAAACTTCCTCTACCTTAAGCTACTTTTAGTGGTAAGTGAATTATACTTATCCCTGGAACTAACCTTTTAAAGCCATCTTCTTATAAATGAGACACTGTTTCCAGAAGCTCAAAACAAATGTGCACTTCAGTTATTTATTTCTGTCTTAAATATATAACAGCAGAGGTACATGCTTATAATTCACATTTTTTTTAATATTTAGGCTATCACACATGACAAAGTGAGCTAACTAGAAGTCTTTAAAGTTAAAAAAAAGTAATAGCTTTAAACTTGTTTTCATTTCTTAAAGTTGTAAAAACTCTCTCCAACAACTTTTATAAAACAACTGGCTCCAACTCAAATAACAAATACAATTCTGGCTGATGCACGGCAAAAGAGACTCAAGAAAAAAAAAATTCATTTTAGTAATCCTTCCCTGAGAAGAGTCTAAAAACACTAGGACTTAACATTCTGGAAAGATGAAAGCTAATAAAGGTAAATATATGGTCAAAATCCATAAAGTCATGATTGAAAGGAAACAAAAACTAAAGAAAATTCTTAAAGATTCTAAAAGTTAAATTTAGGTCAAATGAAAACTCTTGCTCACAGAAATAAAGTTGAAATGACTAATAAAAAAAAAACTAAAAAAAACTTCAAAAAGTATACATATGTATGTATTATCCTTATATTTATCTAATTAAGACAATCTTGGTATATTTGTAAGGCACTTTCCTGGCATTTTAAGTTTGGTGCCATGCAGGCCAAATTTGGCCTTATGTAAAACAACCAAATATCAGAGATTATTGGGCTACCCTACATTTACATCAATCCAGTATTGCAATATTCTGTTGTGTTTCTATTAAGTAGCTAGCAATACAGCCATTCAAATTTTATGTTCCGTAACACATCCTATCTTTTAACTATTAATGTAATTTACATAGATATACACATATATGTATGTATATATGCATATATACATATATACATTTCTGATTATAAAAATAACATTTCATTATAGAAAAATATAAAAAGCATAAAGAAGAAAGTAAAAATTATCTGTCCCCCACCTGGATTTTACAGTGGTTATGTGTGGGTACATGTGAGAGTATAAATGTATGAACTACATGTATTTTTTAACAAAACTGGGAACACAACACATATGCTGTTTTTTATACAGCTTTTTCACTAAAAAGTATGCTGTGAACATTTTCCTATTCAATCATTTATTTCTAAATTTATGTCGACTCATTAATGAAACCTAAGAATCTTTTAATGAAATTATTTAGAAGTTGCTCAGCATTTAAAAGTACATAATCATGTGTAAACATGCATCATCACCAGGTCATGTACTTACAAAAAACGGTGTTGTGGTAGCATGCGTCTCTACACGGCTGATCTTCGTTGCAGGCAGTGCATATTCATCAACTAAAAATTAAACAATCAGATAAGACCTACATAATCACTTATCAGACAGATACATTAAAATATAATTTTAAAATATATATTTAACACTCCCAATCTGTAAACTTAAAAATGGCTAAGACAGCAACTTTTATGTTATGTGCATTTTATCACAATAAAAAAAAGCTGGAAGGTATTATGCTATTATTTACAATAAGTAGTAATATTGACCCTTTAACTCAAAATAATTCATATACTTCATTTTTCAAGGGTTTGATGACTAGCTAGAACTTCAGAGAATGTTTACTGAAGATGCAATACAATTCCCATTATAAAATAAGAATTTGTCAAATTAGAAATCAAGCAAGTTAGAAGAATTGTTAATACACAGTCTAGAACTAACCTTGTCTAAAAAAAAACTTTGCTAAATTTATTCACAGTAGAAAAGACACATTCTGACTGTATTTCAATAGTGTACACTAGTCTAAATATTTTATGCAAAGAATATTTTATAAAATAATTTTAACTGAAATGTTTTATCTGTTTACACATGATTCATTCCAAGATGAAATGCAACTCCCATCTAAGACAAGTAAGTCTGATGAATTTATATACATAAATGGTTCAAAATACAGTATGTGAAACACATTTCAAACCTTCAGATTTGGTACTGAATGTTGTTAGTGAAGTTTCATCTTTAACAACTGCCCCATTTGTACTGGATGATTCAGTTTTAATGGTCTGCTGGGTTACCATAATTTGTGTGCTGGAAACAGTACTGGATACAGAAGTTTCAGGAATTACTGTTCTTACATCCAGGCAACTACTTAGAACACCTACATTTGCTGAAGAGTGAGGACCTAAAATAAAAGGGAAAAGGTAATTATTAATACGATATCTGCAGATAGTTGTTGTGTCTTATAGTTCTTGTCATATGATTCTTTGTACTTTCAGTTTTAAAATCATACATAAGGACCACAAATGGCATTAGTATGAATTAACTATTAGGCATAAAATGTTTAGAAAAATAGTGCATTATATCCATAATGGATATCTAACTTTTTACCTTCCTCGTTCATTGTAAACATTGAACCATTGGTCTCAACTTTCCACTAAATCATAAATCCAATGGCTTTGCCCTTCATTCCAGGAAAAAAATATTAGAGGTCATTAGGCTTGAATTATCTTAATTTTCTGCCTTCTCTGGCCACAAACTGGAATTGTACTAATAATTGTGCTCATCCTCCGTGTCTTCTTTTCCATTGCAGAAGATATGCTGACCTCTCTCCTAAAAAATCCGAATGTATTTTCCCGTATTCTTGGTCCCATTCCTTCCCTTGTGTGTTGGGACCTTCATTCATCAATCATTTCTCTCTCTTCAGGATTTTCAGATTCTTTGCCAGCAGTTTTTGGCCCTTGGCCCATAAACATCACCAAATCTCTGAAGCAAACAACACACCTCTTTGTTTACCCAACAATTTCCACCAATTATCCTCTCCCCTTACTAATTTCCTTCAGAGCAGTTAATACTTCCTTGATCTCCCCAAAATTTGGTTTCTAGCACACTACTCTAATAAAATAGTTCTGGCAAACATCAATATTTCTAGGGGATATTTTAAAATTTTCATTTACTTGACTTTTCTGCAATGTAAACAATGCTGACCACATACTCCTTTTTGAAGCTGTTTTTTTTTTCTATGACATATAGTTCACTCATTCCACAACAGTGAAGTCTACCATGTATGAGGCATTGTATTTGTTTTTATAATGGTGAAATAAGGCAGGCATGGATCATGCCTCATGAACTTAACCCTTCTTCTTGTCGCCCTTTACATATTTTTCTGTGCGTTAAATACCATTCACAAATCCATACATATGTCCAGGCATGGTACCAGAGGCTAGGAATCTAGCAGTGAACAAGTCAATTGAGATTCTTGCTCTTTTGGAGATTACATTTAAATACTCTAAATTTCTAAATTTATATTTCTAGCCTAGTACTACTGCCTTCTACCTAAGTATCCAATTGTCCATTAGAAATCTTTACCAGTATATTCCTGAAGTGCCTCAAAAACAGAGTTCAAATTTGAACCTATCTTTTCCAAAATCTGTTCTTGCTCCTGTATTTTCTAACTTGATAAAGATATCATTATCTTCATGAAGAGTATCATTGATGAAGAGTATCATTATTTATTCTGATGAAGATGAAGAGTATCATTGGTGAAGACTATCATTATCTATTCTGAGGAAGAGTATCACTGATTAAGAGTATCATTATCTATTCTCACGGCCAACCCAAAAAACTGGGAGTCATATTCAACTCATTTTTATTTCTCATATACAACCAGTTGTCAAGTCTTATAGATGACACCTTCTAAAAGTCTTTTAAATGATGAATTCTCTTCTTTCCATTTCAGACACTGCTTTAGTCTCTATGTATCTCCTGGAGTCAGCCACTGCTTTAGTCTCTATGTATCTTCTTGAATCCTAAAAGAATCCCTAACAAGTCTCCTAATCATTTCCAATTATAGTTCTTCCTGATGGTGAGGCTATTTTTTTTTTTAATTTTATTGCGTTTTAGGTTTTGGGGTACATGTAAAGAACATGCAAGATTGTTGCATAGGCACACACGTGGCAGTGTGATCTGCTGCCTTTCTCCCCATCACCCACATCTAGCACTTCGGTGAGGCTATTTTTTTTAAAAAAAAAAACAAAAAAACCTTGCCTCATTTAAATTCCATAGCTCATAACTAATCATTACTATTCAGGTAACTGCTTACTTAGTATTTTAGCATCATTCTAACCAGGTTGAATATGGTAGTTTCTTGCTATTAGGAAAATTGATCAAAACTGTACAACATTTACTTTTTCAATGGCTATTAAATTCCCTACTGATTTTATAAAAAGCTTTAGTTTAAAATGTCAGTCATATACCTTCATTTTTCCTTAGCATATCCACCACACAACTATTATGATTAGAAGCATTAGATGCCAAGGATGGATATAAAATGGCATTGGAATCCGTCAGTGCTTTAAAGTCTGGTTTGTTTTTCACTGAAGTTTCTTTCATGGCTGTTTGTTCAGTTTTTGCACTGTTTACTGTATCACTGATCTATAAGAAACATAACAGATTACTGAAGTAAGCAATAGTCAATGAAATAAAAATACATGTAAAAAGCAAGCAAAAACAATTTACAATTTAAATATTTTTTATTAAAATACAAAGCACCTACAAATTACATTATTAATTTCTACAGGATTATTTGTTAATTTTATAATAGTTTTTAAGAAAACAATTTCTTTTCACTTAATCTCCATGCTCAAAAGATCAGTTTTGAAGAGGAAAGGAAGAGTATATTTGGAGGGAAAAAAATTCACATTTTTGTAGGTGGTAGCTAGTATCACAAGCAAATACAACTATAACATAGAAGATAACACAAAAGCTACTAAGTTTAATACTCTGATCAAATTTTCTTAAAAGGCAGACACGTATACTAAAAATATGATAAAAGTAAAATCCCAGCTATATGGAATCTTCAAGCAAATAAACTATTCTATAAAACTGAGTTTTCCACATAAAGATTTCATACATATACATATAATTATCCTCTATCATTATGTATTTTGGGTAAGAATCTCCTTAATTATATTTTTCTTAGCCGTCTTAAATATACTATAATAAACACATTCAAACTTTTTAAAAAAAGTATTACTATTTTTTTCTTGAGATGGAGTTTCACTCTTGTTGTCCAGGCTGGAATGCAATGGTGCAATCTCAGCTCACTGCAACTTCCACCTCCTGAGTTCAAGCGATTCTCCTGCCTCAGCCTCCTGAGTACTGGGATTACAGATGCCCACCATGACGCCTGGCGATTTTTTTGTATTTTTCGTTTAGACAGAGTTTCACCATGTTGGCCAGGCTAGTCTCAAACTCCTGACCTCAGGTGATCTACGCACCTCAGCCTCCCAAAGTGCTGAGGTTACAGTGAGCCACCACACCCAGTCTATAAAAATTATTATTATTTTTTTTTACTTTTTGAGACAGGGCCTTGCTCTGTTGTCCAAGCTGGACTGCAGTGGTGCGATCACAGCTCACTGCAGCCTCCACCTTCCAAGCAATCCTACTGCCTCAGCCTCCCAAGTAGCTGGGGCTACAGGCACACACCAGCATGCCCAGTTAATTTTTCTATTTTTTGTAGAGATGGGGTTTTGCCATGTTGTCAGGGCTGGTCTCGAACTCCTGTGCTGAAGGATCCGTCAGTCTCTCAAAATGTTGGAATTACAGGTGTGAGCCACCAACCCCAGCCACCACATTTAAAATGTTTTGACAATTCAAGTCATCAGTGTGAATATCATATTATACCTATAGGTCTACTGAACCATGAAAGTGACCTGGCTTCACTCAAATACCCTAATATTGTTGTTCTTTCCGATTACCTATTTTAATTGTTACTTTTCTGTCTCTATTTTTATTGTCAACTCATAATTTGTCATGGCTCTGAGGATACTTGTCTATCCTATGCCCTGTGCTTGCCCTTAATTGGTGGTGGTACTGTTTATAAGTGATGATAATGATAGCCACAACTGTTATGCCAGGCATTGTGGCAGGCAGTGTAATACACACACACACACACACACACACACACACATATTCATAAACTCTGGATCTTACTTAAGCTTCACAAGAATCCTATTAGTAAGATAATTTGACCCTTGTTTTATAGATGAAGTAAAATGATACTCACAGAACTTAAGCAATACACCTACAGTCAGGTAGCCAGTAAGTAACAGCTATAATTTGAATTTGGTTTATTTCATTCCAAAATCCTTATGTCTCCAATATGCTTTTTGCTTAAAATCAGATACTCAATCTAACTGGAATTTTATAAAATTAAGTATAAATAAATCCTGAGAATTTTCACTAAACATGGTAGACTAAACACATTTGCTTCAGATTTCTCCAAAACCCAAATCAAATGATAAAAAAGGAATTTTTAAAAGTATGAAGGTATAACCTTTTAAGAAAAAAAAATGGCAGAAGAGAGAATAGTGGATAAGATGTAAAACAGAAAAGCTGGAGCTAAGAGCCTTCTCCTAAGTGAAAAGTCACATGTGGCCCGTTTGTGCCCCAGGGGCCAGGGCAGTGGTGGCAGAGGTGCAAAGTACAAGAAAACACCTGTTTAAGAAGCGTTGTAGCCCTAGTTCTGCTCTCCCTGTATACCAAGCCAGAGAAATTCCTCTCCTCCATTCTAGCTGAAGATGGGAAATGGGTAGAAAGGTTGAAATGTGAATCTCTACACTCAAGTGATACAGTATCCCTCAAGTGATACAAGTATGAGAATGATACAAGTATGGGGAGAGGCGCCCATACTAAAAACAGGAATTAAGTGAAAGTCTAAATGCTGAACAGAAAGATACCTTCCCTCTAATCCCCTTACTAAGCTCCCAGAATTCTGACAGTCAGGCTCATAACCCTGAAGCAAGAGGTTGGAGAATTCTCAGAGGAAACTAATTGGTCTAAGAAAAAAGAACCACAGGAAACTGGTATTTGTTGGTCCCCTGCCCACTTACCCTTGTTAAGGTTTACTAAGTAACAAGCCACACCCACATGCATAGGCCTTCCAGGCTCTTTCTTAAAGCCTCACTTTAAACACAAAGGGACAGCCAAGCATCACTAGACACTTGATGGCAACCTCTAATGTGGAAGTCCAAGATTAAAATACATTAAAAAAAATAAAAAGGAGCTTTAAAAAAAGAACTATAACAAAGAGTGGACTAAAACTCCAAAATTTTTTAAAGCATAATTCTTTATGAATTATGAATTATAAGAGAGAAGGAAAGATATTATATTTATGAAATATGAATAGGGTGCTATAACAGAAATAAAGACTAAAATGAGGCTTTTAGAAATTCAAAATGTGACTGAATATATTTAAAAATTTAAAAATTGGATAGAGAATTTAGCATATGAAATAAATTTCTCAGGAAGCAGAATAGACAGAGATAATAGAAGATAAAAAGCAAAATCAGAGGACGAGTTTATTAAAAAAAACTGAAAAGAAATCGAGGGAAGAAATCATCAGTAATGAAGGTCATGAGTTTCCAGAACAATGGGGTCCACTGGGTGTAGCACACCAAATGAAGACATGCACTCTAAGGCACATCATTGTTGATATTTCAGAATACTGAGGATAAAAAGAAAAAAAATTAAATCATATATGAAGGATCAGGAATCCAAATGGCATCACACTTTTCAATAGCAACACCGAATGCTAAAAGACACTAGAAAAAAATGCCTATAAATTTCTGAGGGAAAATCTTCCAATATAGGATTCTATAAACCAGCCAAACAATCAGTTAAATAGGCTGAAGACATTTTCAGATATGCAAGATCTCAAAAAGTTTATCTTTCATAAGCCCACATCTCAGAGGGTGGCAACAAAATAAAGGAAAACACAGAGAAAGAGAAAGAAATAAGGTCAAGAACTATGAGCTGTAACACAGGAAAGAGGTAAATTGCTAATATGAAACAGAGGTTCGTTCTAAGGTGACAGCTGTGCAGAAGGCCTAGAGAAGAATGAGTACATGAGGACAGGGGGCTCCAGGAGGAATGGTTATAAGGGGGGATGAAAGAAACTACCTTTTATGTCCAAATATCTTGAGAAATTTTATCATTTTTTGGAAAATTTGAGTATGAATTAATGACAGACAAGAAGAAAGCTAAGCAAGTGAAAAAGTGAGGCAGTTAATGCCAGGAAAAACAAAGTTGCATGAGAAAGAAGCAATTCTCATAGCACACTGCATGGCTCACCTGCGACTATTTCACCATCATAGTATAAACATCAAGTCATAATTCAACTAAAAATACGTGAAGGATGTGGAACAGGAAAGGAGGGGATGAGGCAGAATTGTAAGAGATCATCAAATTGTCACCTTTCATTATTGAAGACAACTGACAACGGATCTAAAAGTAGATCCTTCAACAACATGACTTTGAACTGTAAGGGTTCATTTCTATGAGGATTATTTTCAATAAATACAGTTGGTTCTCCATATCTGTGGGTTCCACGTCCTCAAGCAAACACATATGGAAAATACAGTATTAGCAGGATGCAAAAACTGTGGATACAGAGGGCCGAGTTTTCACATTTGCAGGTTTCACAGGGCCAACTGATATTTCCACAAAAATATGGAGGGGTCTGAGGAGGGTGGGTCTTGGAACCAATGCCCAGTAGATACAGAAGGACAATTGTACATAGTTAGATACTGAAAGAAAGCTACAATAGTTTAAAGTAGTTGCTTCTAGTAAACAGAAATCAAGAGCAGGTAGGGAGAGGGTAGGAAACTACTGCTCTTCATCATAAGCTTTAGAGTATCATCTAAATTTGTGATATACACATACATGTATATATAGTATATGATCAATATATAACATATTAATACATAAAACATAAATATTAATCTGCTATGACAGGCTACTTACAAACTGTACTAGCTTTACTTGTAATAAGCCCTTCCTGACATACTCTAAGTATGACACAATATACTTCCTGACCTATACCTTTACTGGTCTTCAATCATACACATAACACAGAACATATGAGCCAATACCTATATCATTTTCCTTGAAGAGTCTACTGAGGTAGACAGCAGTTTACCAAATAAAAATAATGAATCTTAGTAAGCATATTCATTAGTCTCTACCAAGACCCACTGTGATGCACTTCATAAACAAGAAATAACCTCACAGGTGTTCAATTTAGTAACTGCTATTTTTCAGTAAACAAAATACATAGTAAAGAAAATATTTTATACATATTTTAAAAGTACATCTTTAAGTGTTTGTGACATTTAGAAATGGCAAAATATAGACACGTAAGTCACGAAAGTACACATTACAATAAATTAATCTGATGTCTGTGTAATGCAGCTAGGCTTCTCTTGGCCTGGTTTTCAATTCAGGCTTCTGTCACAGTGATCTGTGAAGCTTTCTTTAAAAACAGAGCTGCCTGGGCATTTTCCTAAAGATTCTGCTTCACTAGATTTGAGGAAGGGCTTGGGAATCTGTGTTTGTTTGTTTATCTCAGAGATAATTCTCATGTGCAGGCAGGGTTAAGGACCCCTCTCTTCTAGAGTAGTGGTATGTTAAAAATCTGAATAAATATTGAGAATATAACCATAAACATCCAATTACCATCATATACTTTTTTACTTACACTGTTAGGAATGATGTTATTACTGCCTTGTCTGTGAGGGTCCATCCTGACTCCTGCAGGAATTGAGAAAGGTTCAGATTGATATGCTCTTAATTAGCTTCAATAAAATATAATTAAATATTTTTTGTTACATATTAAAGGTTTAAAAAGTAGTATCTTTATCAAAGGTTTTATGTTTTCTTACTAATTTGCCAGAATTGACTGAAATCCTCTCTGGGAAATGTGCAAAATTTGTGTTTCCTTTTACTTTCCAAGTGCCATTTAGTTAAAAATACTTCTGAAAAAGCTGAGATATTTATGAAAGCAAATTAAAGCCATCTGCGGAAGTCAAGTAATATGTCAAATTAGGAAAGTACATAAAAATGAACCACAGGCTGGGCATGGTGGCTCATGCCTGTAATCCCAGCACTTTGGGAGGCTGAGGTGGGCAGTTCACAAGGTCAGGAGATCGAGACCAGCCTGGCCAATATGGTGAAACGCTATACTAAAAACACAAAAAAATTAGCTGGGCGTCATGGCACATGGCTGTAATCCCAGCTACTTGGGAGGCTGAGGCAGGAGAATTGCTTGAACCCAGGAGGTGGAGGTTGTAGTGAGCCAAGATTGCACCACTGTGCTCTAGTCTAAAAAAAAAAAAAAAAAAAAAAAAAAAAAAAAGAACTGCAGAAAACACAATCTATCCTACATGTCTATGTGTTCTACTACATCATAATGGTAAGACAGCCAAGTTTCAAAATTGAAATGCAACGTATTTAAAATTACCAGGCACAGACCTACTATCATAAAATTTCTTAAATCAAACCTAATCACAGACTTTTCTGCAGTATATATACTCGTGTGTGTTTGTGTGTGTGTATTTACTTATTTTTTTGACACAGAGTCTCACCTGTTGCCCAGGCTGGAGTGCAGTGTTATGATCTCAGTTACTGCAACCTTCATCTCCTGGGCCTCCTGGGGTCAAGCGATTCTTTTGCTTCAGCTTCCTGAGTAGCTGGGATTACAGGCATGGGCCACCATACCTGGCTAATTTTTGTATTTTTATGTGAGACAGGGTTACACCATGTTGGCCAGGCTGGTCTCAAACTCCTGACCTCAGGTGATCCACCTGCCTCAGTCTCCCAAAGTGCTGGGATTATAGGCGTGAACCACTGTGCCTGGCCTGTAGTATATATTTTTAAAAGCATGTGAGCATACATACTTTAAGCATGAAAATCATGTTACCTTGCAAATTTGGTGCTGCTGAAGAATCTGATGATGCAGTTTGGTATGGCAAGTCTGTACTCAGCTGCAAAAGATAGCCCTCAACCGTAGATACTTCATCCCATTTGACATGAAAGGAGTTGGTAGTGGCTTTGATTAGCTGTACTTGAGATGGTGCCGGTGGTTTCTCTAAAGAACAATAATGATATTATACATTTAAGTTCCAGTGTATAAATGATATGCTGATATAGTCTGTGTGGACTACAGCTTTAAATTTACTCACATAAACACAGCTACAGTAGGTCAAATAAAAGTAGTTTGGGGTTTTCATTCTATTTATTTATTTACTTCGACAAATTAATCTATAAACAAATTGATCCAGTACTAAACTAACAAACTATCTGAGTCATCAGATTTGAAAATGTGTTTAATCCTAGAAGGATTTTTTTTCTGGGTGGGGAGGGGGCTGACAGGAAGCATGCGGAGCCAAGTATTAAAGCTACATTATTTTATCTTCCTTAGAAGTTCTAATATTTTTTAATTTTATGAGCCAATTTTGCTCCAACAGCATACATGTTAGAAATTCTGTTAATGTTAGCAAAGATAACTTGGACATGATATTTTATTAAAGCATAACTTCTCTGAAGTTAATACCCCCTTATCAAGACTTGTACTACTGGCTGGGCATGGTGGTTCTACCTGTAATTCCAGCACTTTGGGAGGCCAAGGCAGGCAGATCACCTGAGGTCAGGAGTTTGAGACCAGCCTGGCCAATATGGTGAAACCCCACCTCTACTAAAAATACGAAAATTAGCCGGGCGTGGTGGCTGGTGCCTATAATCCCAGCTACTCTGGAGGCCGAGGTAGGAGAATTGCTTGAACCTGGGAGGTGGAGATTTCAGTGAGCTGAGATCACATCACTGCACTCCAGCCTTGGCAGCAGAGCAAGACTCTGTCTCAAAACAAAAAAAGCACTCATACTACCAAAACATGTAAGTGCCCTGATATAAAATATCACCATTTCCAAAACAAATACAATCATATCATAGACTCTTATAGCTGAAAAAAAGGATCTAAAATTATTTCCACAACATCCCTGTCTTTTCTTTGTATACCTACCATAACAGGAAATTCACAACTCAGAGGCAGCACATTCCATTTTTCTACAGTGACACAAGAAAATGTATTCTAGTGAATTAAAATCTCTAACTAGGGCTGGGCACGGTGGCTCACGCCTGTAATCCCAGCACTTTCAGAGGCCAAGGTAGGTGGATCACTTGAGGTCAGGAGTTTGAGACCAGCCTGGCCAACAAGGTGGAACCCTGTCTCTACTAAAAATACAAAAATTAGCCGGGCATGGTGGCACATGCCTGTAATCCCAGCTACTTGGGAGGCTGAAGCAAGAGAATCACTTGAATGCCCCCAGGAGGTAGAGAGTGCGGTTAGCCAAGTTCACATCACCGCACTTCAACCTGGGTAATACAGCGAGACTCCATCTCACCAAAAAAAAAAAAAAAAAAAAAAAAAAAAAAAAAAAAAAAAATCTCAAAGTAGGGGTCAGTAAACTGTGGCCCACCAGATCCAGCCTGTGCCTGTTTTTGTAAATAAAATTGTATTGAGACACAGCTAAGCTCATTTGTTTATGTATTGTCTATGGCTGCTTTCATGTTACAACAGCAGAGTGAGTAGTTACAATAGATACTAGACTTACAAAATCTAAAATATTTACAATCTCGTCCTTTACAGAAAAAAATTTGATCACCCTGTTTTAGAAGATGATAAAGCCTAGATCCTTCAGCTATTCCCATGTAAATTCCTCCATGATCTTATTCACAATCCAGTTTATTTCTCACAGTAAGGCAACCCAAATTTGAGCAAAAACAGACAAGAAGTCAAGAAGGTACAGCCCCATATAATAGAATTTACATGAAAAGAGATTAGAGAATACAGAAAGGGTGCATGCAAATCAACATAATAAAGAAAATTCCCCAGAACTGCAGAACATGAGTCTTTACACTAAAAGGGCCCTCTGAGTACTCAACACAATGGATCAAAGACAGACACACAAGAAAGCACATTATTATGAAATTTTAAAACAGTGCTGATAAGAGAAATAAAAAGCTTTCAGAGAAAGGGGAGGGAAAAAGGTCATATTTGAAAGGACCAAAAATCAGAAGTAGTTTGGATTTCTCAACCAAAATACTGGAAGCCTGAATACAATAGAACAATGCAATGCTTCCAAAAGTCTGAAGGATAAGGATTTATAATGTAGAATCCTATTTCTATCCAAACTGCCATTTAAGTGGGAAGAAATATTCAACATATTTTCAAACAATGCAAGATCCCAAAATAAATGTATCATCTATTTACCCTTTTCCTGGGATTTGTTCCATGAAAAATGAGGAAGTAAACTAAGAAAAGGAAATGTATGGGATCCTGGAAACAAGGAATCTGGCAGAGGTATGAGGCAAAAGATAGCTCCAGGAAGATGATGGAGACTCCAGGATGATGGCTGTGCTTGATTTGTAGAGGGCACCCACCTCAGATTGGAGCAGGTGAGCTTTCTTCCAATTTGATAAAATATGTATGCATCTAACTATAATGAGAGAAGATTTAAACAAATAACAAAGGGTATGGATTGAATTAATGCTAAATATATACAAATCTAAAACAAAAATAATAAAACTGAAAATTACTACATGGCAAATAAAAAACCATGCAAGAGGGGCTCAACTGTGAAGAATGCTTATATAGTCATAATATAAACATTGAATGAATAGTCATCTAGTAAAATTATGATATAACCATATTGAGAGAATGGTGGGTACGAAAGGTGTATCGGAGAAAGAGATGAGGAATGGTGGGAGAAAGAGATACATTTAACTTCCACAGCAAAAAGTGAGCACATTATGGCCTAAATGAAAAAAAAATACATCAAAGTAACAATATATGCATGTGATATAGAGATAGGGAATTAAATACCTAAAGAATCATTTAACAGATTTGAGAACAAATAAATGCTTGTAGAACAAGTAAAATAAGGAAAGGTGTGAGCAAAGAATTGTGATTTTTCACAGAAAGCCTCATGGAATTCTATTACTCATTTACATGCTATCAAATGCACAAAGTTTAACTAAAAGTGAAAAAAAGACAAGATGAGCCCCCTCTTCCACCAAAATTGATGCTAACTTATCAAGAGGAAAAACAAAACCTGTATTTTGCCCTTATGATAGTGGCCATGATTACTTTTAGAATACTGGTATCTAAAGCTCATCATGAAAAGGTTCAGGCCATTAAAATCCATTTTTTTTTTAACTTTTTAAAGTCACAGATCCCTTAGAGAATCTGCTCAAAGTGATATAATCCCTACAGAGAAAAATTCAGTCATACACATTTTTTTCATCCAATTTCAGAGACTGAAGCTTATCCTTAGCCTTTAGTTAATAATTTCCAATTTCAAAGGTGAACCAGTAAGTTGGATTTTCTGTATTTCTTTCCTGCTTGCTAGTACATGCTTCTTCTATAGAAAGCATTTACTCTATTAATTCATTATTTTTTCAACTATCTTAATTTTAAACTTTTTACATAACAAAAACAATACATGCTACTGTAGAAAATACAGACAAATAATGAGAGAAAAGCTTTGAAGAAAATGTATAATCTCAGCTCTCAGATAATGCCTTGGTATGTGTCCTTCCAAGTTTTCTATTTATAATTTTGAAAAAACTGGAGTCATTATATGTTTTATAATGTTTTTCTCATGTAACATCAAGTATTACATCTCCAGATATAATTTCTCTAATGGCCACTAGACTCATCTATTTATTCAAATGCCTACTTGATCTTATTTCAAACTTAGCACGGTCTAAATGGAACTTTTGATTTTCTCCACAACGCTGTTTTCTCTCACTCTTCCCTATCTCAGTATAATTCAAGCTAAAAATTCATCCTTCATTCTCCCCTTTCTGTCACTTGCCATACAAATTATCAGCAAATTCTGTCAACAAGAACTCCAAAATATATCCTGAATTTATCCAGTCCTCCCCGCCTGCTTTGTGACCACTAGAGTCTGAAACACTTTTTTGACTACCGCAAGAACTTTCTAACTTGTCTTGCAGTGTGCACCTACAATTTATTTTCTATACAACTGCCAGTGACCATTCCAAAATGTACATCAGATTGTGTCACATCTCTCCTTCAAACTTACACATAACTTACCACTGTATTTTAAAAATAACTTAGAAATTTTTACCACCACATTCAAGGCTTTATGTCCTGTGGTCATCTCTGTAACCTCCATTCTTACACTTTCCTCTTTGTTTACCCAGCTCAAATCTGTTGCCAAACATTCCAAGTATTCCCATCTCAGACTCCTTCTATTTGCTGTTTCCTCTTCCTGCAGTGGTTTCTCTGGCCTTTTTATGTGGGTAGCTCCTTCTCACCATTTGGATCACATCCCATGTCATCTCATTAAAAAAGCCTTTTTTGACTGTGAAAGGATAAGGACCATTCCCAACACCTAACACCACTCTGAAGGATAAGGACCATTCCCAATACCTAACACCACTATCTCATGTATTCAAATGATTAACAGAAACCGAACTGATTTTGTTCATCTTTTCATTATTGCTTATTATCTCCTTGCCATCGTACCCTCTCAGAAGGTAAGTTTTTTGTGAGAGTAGGGGCACTATCAGTCTTGTTCACTGCTATATTCTCAGCATTTAAACAGTTCCTGCTACACAGCTGTCAATCAATATTCATTAAAAATGGATGTGAGGTATGCATTTTTAAAAATTTTGGTGCTCTAATGATTTTCTTTTTCCCTTTAGAAATGGGATCTTGCTCTGATACCCAGGCTAGAGTGCAGTGGAGCAATCAGAGCTCACTGTAGACTAAGATTCCTGGGCTCAAGTGATCCTCCTGCCTCAGCCTCCCAAGAAGCTGGGACTATAGGCATGTGCCACTGTACTTGGTTAATTTTTTGTTTGGTAAAGATGGGAGTCTCACTATGTTGCTCAGGCTTGTCTTGAACTCATGGCCCAAGCAATCCTCCTGCCTTGGCTTTCCAAAGTGCTAGGATTACAGGTGTGAGCCACTGTGCCCAGCCTCTAATGTGTGTGTGTGTGTGTGTGTGTGTGTGTGTGTGTATTTTTTTTTTAAAAAACCCTTTACTTTAAAATAATTTTAGATTTGCAGAAAAGTTGCAAAGATAGTATAGCATTGCCATAATCCCCTGACCCAAGCTTTCCCTGTTTTCCAGCTTCCCCTAATATAAGCACATTTGTTAAAACTAAGAAATTGTCATTGGTGTAATACTATTAACTATAGACAACTCAGATTTCACAAGTTTTTCAATTAATGTATTTTTTGTTCCAGGATCCAATACAGAATACATCATCACATTTAGTTGTAGTCTCCTTTGTCTCCTCCACTTTGTGATGATTTTTTAGTCTTTCCTTGTTTTCCTTCGCTTTGAAACTTCTGAATAGTACCGCTCACATATTCTTTGTAGAAAATGTAGAATGTCCCTCAATTTGGTTTTGTCTGATATTTTCTCATAGTTAGATGGGTTATGGGTTTTGGGGAAGAAAACCACAGAGGTACTTTTACTTATCACATGATATTAGGGAGTAAATGATATCAATGTGACTCATCACTAGTGATATTAACCTTAATCACTTGATTAAGGTGGTGCTTGCCAGGTTTCTCCTGCTTGCCAGGTTTCTATAAAGCTACTATTTTCCCTTTCCATACTCTATTCTTTGCAAAGGAGTCTTTAAATCCGGTCTACACTCATGGAGAGGATAATTATATATTCCTCAGGAGTGGGGAATAACTACACATATTGTTTCTTCTTATGGGAAAGAAAGGTAGCAGCATTTACAGTAAGTCTCAAAAGGCAGACACTTGAGTGCTTACCTAAAAAAAAAAAAGTTTATTTGTTAAATATTCTTACCTACCAGTATCAAGATACCAAAGATCCTTGCAGCAAACTTGACTATTCAGTGCTTTTTTGTAGCCATCTCTTCCACTCCAAAAATACAATCGAGTGCCAATTGCAACAGCGCAGTGTCCAGCTCTTGGTCTTGGTCTTGAATTTTTTTTATCTTCTTGAGAATCTGATACTAGGGTGGTCCACTCTGTTGTATCTGAAAAGACAGAAATATTCACAACTAATTTTTTGTCCTTAACAAAATTATTTAAAAAAATCTTATTAATAAAGTTTAATTAAATGAATAACTCTTAAAAGACTCACCCAGATTTAGGTAAGAAAATGAACTGGTACATCTCCATTCACAATCATGGGGTGAAGTCTCAGTATTTTCCCCCTTATATGGGACCCATCCACCAAAAATGTACATCCTGAACAACAACACAAAAACATAAAGTAGCTTATTTCATTTTACTTCATGGATTTGAAGGGCTAAGACTAGACAAATTTCCTATCAGCAGGGTTTCAGAACTATTCATTCACCCATCATACCATCGTCAAGGTAATGGGAATAGGAAGATGAATAAAGTGGTCTTCTTTCAAGAGTTTACAATTTTATGAAGCAATACAGAATCACAATTATTTCACTCTGGCAAGTTACTTAAAGTGAAGACTATTTCAATTATAATATATTTTAAAATAAATATTGTCTATAATATACTAAGGCATGGTACCACAGTCAGAAAGATACCCAACTGATCAATGACCATCCAAAGTCAAATTTAAAACTGTATGCATAGAGTAACTGAAGAGGATTGAATTTCATGTAACTTTGGCCACTGATATCATTTAAATGAAACCTTTAAACTGTGTTCCTCAGGACCCCGAGTTCTTAAGACAAGCCTGATGGCTACTGGAAGAGAAAGGCTCATCAGGCAGAAATCAGGGCCCATGTAACCTGATGCCAACCAGAGATCTAAGAGATCTATTCTTTTAATGCCAACCAGAGATTTTTTTTTTTTTTTTTTAGATAGGGTCTTCTTCTGTTGCCCAGGCTAGAGTGCAGTGGCATGATAATGGCCCACTGCAAACTCAACTTCCTGGGCTCAGGTGATTCTTCCACCTTGGCCTCCCAAAGTGCTGGGATTATAGGCATGAGCCACCATACCCAGCCAGAGCTCTATTTTTTAAAATCGATTTTTATACATTGGGGTTTCAATGGAAAATTTCATTTTATAAAATGATTCTGCAGTTAAAAAAGTACATAAAATTTTGTTTAAATGTAAAGACTATCCTGTTTGGTTTTGAGTTAGTTAAAAAAAAACAAAACAATAATTAGGTTCTAAATCAATAGTAATTTCCTAAAATACTAAATTTAAGGTAGAATCCCTGCAATAGTAAATATTTCATTAAATTCTAATTCAACAGTACTCCTAATTGTGGCACAATTTTGCACAAACAAGGGAATTTGTTGATGGCAGTAATAGCCAACATTTATGGAATGCTCACTTCATACCAGAAACTGTTCTAAGCATTTCATATGTATTAATCCATTTAGTCTTCATTACAGCCTTGTCAAGTAGCTTTTTACTTTAATCTACATTGTATACTTAAGGAAAGTGAGGTATAAACAGATTAAGTTTCCTTGCCCCAGGTCATATAGGACAGGTGCCAAAGCTGGATCTTGAATTTAGACAATCTGGTTACAGAGTTTGTATTCTATTAACTCTATATTGCCATCTAAAACATAATTATTAAGAGTACGTGCCTGAGTACAAATGAAGCACTACCAAAAATAGGAAAAAAGAAACAGTGAGTTAAGTGATTAGTTTGGCAATATCCAGGTTTACATTTACATAAAGCCTACCCTGGGCAAGGCATTATAATGAATGCAAAGTAAAAGAGATAGCATAAGAAAAGGGCACATTAAGTATTTTAGCTTCTACAGACAAAAAATTATTTTAGCTTCAGTAAGCACAATCAAACTGTGTTGTTTCATAATCTACTTCCAAGAAACTAGTAGCATTACTTTTCTTTGTGTGCTTCTTAAGTTGTTTAAAAAAAAAAAAAAAACAGAAGTGAAATACAAAAAAACACCATACTTGTTTCCTATAACACTGGCTGTATGAAGGCTTCGTGGAAGTGGCACTGTCCCTTTAGTTTCTGGTTTTGACCATGACATAGTCTCTAAAAGTAAAAATAATTGTATTAGCAACTTGATCTAACAACAGCAAATTACCTCAACTTGCATAATTAAAAAAAAAATAAAACAAGAACTTACCAAAATGCAACAAAGCATTTTAAAACAGTTATTTGAATATTATCTTAAATATTCCCAGCTTACATAAACTGCTAATCAGAAATTTATTTACACTTAATGTTAGTACAGTTAGCCCTCTGTATCCATGGGTCCTGCATCCATGGATTCAACCAACCACAGATTGAAAATATTCACAAAAAACTTTGGCTGCACTGAACATGTTTTCTTTTTGACATTATTCCCCAGACAATACAATGTAGCAATAATTTATGTAGTATTTACATTGTATTAGGTGTTACAAGTAATCTGGAGATGATTTAAAGTGTACGGGAGAATATGCAAATACTACATACACCATTTTACATCAGGGACTTGAGCATCCATGGATTTTGGTATCAGGGGAGGTCCTGAATAAATTCTCCACAGATACCGAGGGATGACTGTATTTGTAATAGGGTGCTACCAATTTTGAATTAAGAACAATATTAGGGATTTTACCATTTTAAGTAAGAGTACATTGGACAGAAGATAGTCAAAGGTGAGAGGCACACTATCCTCCAATCATTCATTCCTAGGATCCCTTTAGAAAGAACTACCTAAGCGTTTTTTACTGGCCACCAATAACACTGATAATGCTACATTTCCTGTAGATAGTTATCAACCCCAACAGGACACTTTTCAGAGTGAAAGAGAGTACTGTACTATTGATAATTGCACAGGACAATAAGCATAAACCAGAATCATCCCAGGTAAACCAGGACATATGGTAACCCTATTTACAGAAAGCACAAGAGAGTTACTCTTATAAACCAAACATTCATTTGTTCAATCTGATTTATCAGCAACCATTTATATCACACATCAGCTATTCCCTGGGGCTAGAAGTACTAGTTGTAAATCTAAGTACAACTCAATAAATACTAAAATCAATAATATTTTTCAAAGCATTTTTTAAATTTGTCCTATTCCTGAGCCCGAATCAAGTTAAACTTACCTAAGTCAAGTTGCCACAGGTCATCCAGGCGAGCACCACACATTCCACCAAAAACATACATTTTAGGACCTCCAGAATCTTTTTTGCAATATATAACAGCTGTGTGGGATTCTCTTGGAGAAGGTACAACACCTTTCGTCACTGGAATGCTCCAACCCACAACACCAGAGCCGTGCTGTAGCTCCAACTCATAAAAATCATTTAAATATCTAGGATAGCATAAAAAAATTAAAACATTCAGATAATATATACCCTTTATTTGTATTTTATTTCTATTTATAAAGATAATATGTGCTTACTGTAAAAAGTTCATAGTACAGAAAGGCATTAGGAGAGCAGAAACTCCAAACCTCATTCACACAATACATACTTATCAAATATTACAATGTTCCAGGCATTCTTCTGGAGCTCAGTAGTGAAGAGAAGAAATTAAAAATAATTTCTATTATCATTTAGCCAACACTCTTATCAATGACAACTTGCTACTTGTTGGTGTTAAAACACAACTACAAATCCTGTGATACTTTTACCATCAGGAAGTTGGGTCTATGTTTCCTTCCCTTGATTCTGGGCTGGTTTGTGACTGCTTTGATTAGTAAGGTATGGTAAAAGAACACTATGTAGGCCAGGTGCAGTGGCTCACGCCTGTAATCCCAGCACTTTGGGAGGCCGAGGCGGGTGGATTGCTTGAGGTCAGGAGTTTGAGACCAGCCTGGCCAACATTGTGAAACCCCATGTCTAAAAACAAACAAAAAAAGAACACCATGTGACTTCTGAGGCTGGGACACAGAAGGCCTATACACCTTCACTAGAACACTCACTCTTGGAATCCTGAACCACCATGTAAGAAGTTCAACTCCCAAAAAACTATCATCTGGGGTGGCCATATGCAGGTATGTAGAGTGACAGAACCAGCTTAGTCTGTCAATATCAGCTGGAAATTTAAGAAAATTTTGGCCAGGCATGGTGACTCATGCCTGTAATCCCAACACTTTGGGGGGCCAAGGTGGGAAGATCACTTGAGCCCAGGAGTTCCTGGGCAACATGGCGAAATCCTGTCTCTACAAAAAGGAAAAAGAAAAAAAAAACCACGTTTTTTAAATTAGCTGGGCATAGTGGCATGCACCTGTGGTCCCAGCTATTCAGAGGTTGAGGCAGAGGGATTGTCTGAGCCCGGGAGGTAAAGGCTGCATAGAGCTGTGATCATGCCACTGGTGACAGAGTATGGCTCTGTCTCAAAAAGCAAAGCAAAGAAAATGTCCTTAATGTTATTAAAATCACATACCAACAACCTATAGCAAATGTCACAATTAGTGACAGAAAGGTAAATATATTAATGAAACAAAACAGAGTCTAGAGCAGGAATCAACAAATGTTTCCTGTAAAGGGTCCAATAGTAAACCTTTTAGGCTTCACAGGCCACAAATCTATTGCAACTACTCAACTGTGCTGTTTTAACACAAAAGCTGCCAACAGCAATACAAAATGAATGGGCACGGCTGTATTCCAATAAATGTTTATTAATTAAAAAAGGACAGCAGGCCACATTTGGCCCACAGGATATAGTTTGCAACCCCTGGTCTAGAAAGCCTAGAAAGACACATTTACACAAGAATTAAGATATGACAGAGATGGAATTTCAAATCAACAGGAAAAAAATGACTTATTTAATAAATGGTATTAGGAAAAGAAGTAAAAAGCCTCACATTAGTTGCAAAAGTATATCACAAATGCATTAATGGTCTAAATAGAAACAAAACTGTGAATGTACTAGAAGAAATTATAGAAAAGTTTTTATAATTTTCTTTAAGGGTAGTCTTTAAAGTAAGATTCAAAACCAAAAATAGAAAATATTGTCAAATGTGATGAAACAAAACAGAAAACCCTTTAAAAAGAAAAAAGCAAAGACTCAAAAAACATATTTGGAACATACAAAAATATGTATGTATGTAAAGAACTCCTAAGAATCAACAATAATAAAAATTGAAATCCATTTCAATATGATTAGGAATAATAAATGAATTCAGCAAGATCACAGGATACAAGATAAATAACAAAACCAATTGTATTTCTATATACTAGGAATGAACAATCCAAAAATGAAATTAAGAAACCAAATCAATTCATAATATCCTCAAAAAGAATAAAACACTTAGGAATAAATTTATCAAAATTACAAAGAGCAACATGTGCATTGAAAACTACAAAATATTGCTGAGAGAAAATTTAAAAGATCTAAATAAATGGAGAGACATTCCATGTTCATGAATTGGCAGATCCAATATTATTAAGATGGCAATTCTCCTCCAACTGATATATAATCAATGAAATCTCTATCAAAATCCTAGTAAGCCTTTTTTTGAGATGGGGTCTCATTCTGTTGCCCAGGCTGGCGTGCAGTGATGTGAACATGGCTCACTGTACCCTTGGTCTACTGGGCTCAAGCAATCCTCTTGCTTCAGCCTCCCATGTAGATGGGACCACAGGCACATAGCATCACATCTGGCTAATTTTCTAATGTTTTGCAGAGATAGAGTCTTGCCAAGTTACCCAGGCTGGTCTCAAACTCCTGGGCTCAAGTGATCCTCCCACCTTGGCTCCCCAAAGCCCTAGGATTACAGGTGTGAGCCACCACATCAGTCTTTGGCAATTTCTGATTCAAAATTCTATAAAGATATGCAAAGGACCTGGAATAGCCAAAATACTTACGGAAAAAAAAGATTTAAGCACTCATGCCTTTCAATTTCTTACCATAACACTTACTACAAAATACAGTAATCAAGACAGTGGGGTACTAGCATAAAGTTAGACATATAGATCAATGGAATATAACTGAGAGTCCAGAAATAAACTCTTACATTTGTGGTTAACTGATTTTCAATAAAGATGTCAACACAACACAATGAGGAAAGGGCAGTCTTTTCAACCAATGGTTTTGGGACTTCTGGATATCCACATGTGAAAAGATAAATTTAGGCCCTGATTTCACTTTTTATACAAAAATTAACTCAAAAATAAATCATACATAGAAATATAAGAGCTAAAACTATTCAATTTTTAGAAGAAAACAGAGGAACAAATCTCTATAACCTTGAGTTAGGCAAAGAGTTCTTAAATATGGCACTAAAAGTATGATTCATAAAAGTTTGATAAATTGTATTTATCAAAATTTAAAACTTTCATACTTCAAAAGGTAACAGTAAGAAAATAAAAAATAAGCCACAGACTAGAATATAATACTTGCAAATCACATTTCTTTTTTTTTTTTTTGAGACAGTCTCACACTCTTGCCCAGGCTGGAGTACAGTGGCACGATCTCCACTGCAACGTCTGCCTCCTGGTTCAAGCAATTCTTCCACCTCAGCCTCCCAAGTATCTGGGAGTACAAACATGTACCATTAGTATGCCCAGCTAATTTTTTTGTGTTTTTAGTAGAGATGGGTTTCACTATGTTGGTCAGGCTGGTCTCAAATTCCAGGCCTCAAGTAATCCACCTGCCTTAGCCTCCCAAAGTGCTGGGATTACAGGTGTGAGCCACTGTGCCTGGTCAAATCACATTTCTGATTAAAAAGTAAAACAAAACATAAAACTTATATCCTGAATATATACATAACTGTTACAACTCAATAATAAGAAAACCATCAACTAAAAAATGGACACAATATTTGAATAGAAATTTCATCAAAGATATATGAATGGCTAAAAAGCACATGAAAAGATGTCCAACACTATTGGTCATTAGCGAAATACAAATTAAAACCACAATGAGATACCACTTTACTCCCACTAGGATGGCAACAATAAAAAAGACAGATAATAACAAGTATTAGCCAACGTGGAGAAATTAAAACCCTTACATATTGCTGGTGGGAACGTAAAATGGTATAGTCACTTTGGAAAACAATTTGGTAGAATTTCTTAAGAAGTTAAACATTTTGAGGTAGGAGGATCAATTGAGCCTGGGAGGTAGAGGCTCCAGTGAGCTGACATTGTGCCACTACACTCCAGCCTGGGTGATAGAGTGAGACCCTGTCTCAAAAAAAAAAAAAAAGAAAATAGGCCTGTGTGGAGGATTGGATTAATGTTCCCAACTCTTCTCTCCTAGCAGGCAGAGTATGTATCCTTAGACCACTAACTCTGGCCTTGGCCATATGGCTTGCTTTGACCAATGGAATGTGACCAGAAATGAATGTGCTTTTAACAGAGGCTTTAAAAATCATTGTATGCAATTGTATGCACCTACTGGCTCTCTCAAGTAGAGTAACTTGAGAAGCCTGCCCCTTGTAAACAATAACCTAACAAAAGCTAATATAACGTATAACATGAAAAAGGTCTCAAAAGATGTACATCAAATTGAATTATGTGTATTTGCCTATGTTGGGGGATAGTGCTGTTGAAAGAACACTGTGCACTTTCTAATTTCTTGAATTTTTACCAGTGTTATTTTTTATTTATTTATTTATTTTTTTTGAGTCGGAGTTTCACTCTTGTTACCCAGGCTGGAGTGCAATGGCGCGATCTCGGCTCACCGCAACCTCCGCCTCCCGGGTTCAGGCAATTCTCCTGCCCCAGCCTCCTGAGTCGCTGGGATTACAGGCACACACCACCATGCCCAGCTAATTTTTTGTATTTTTAGTAGAGACGGGGTTTCACCATGTTGACCAGGATGGTCTCGATCTCTTGACCTCGTGATCCACCCGCCTCGGCCTCCCACAGTGCTGGGATTACAGGCTTGAGCCACCGCGCCCTGCCTACCAGTGTTATTTTAAAAGCTCGTTTAATGGGAAAAAAATTTTTAAAACATGTGTTAAAAGTATCTGGATTACTGTGATAATTTTTTTCCTTTTCTCCAGTTTCCAAATTTTTCATGATATTTTAGTATTTCTGTTTTTAAAAAGTTTGGAAAAAAGTTAAAACACCACCATCAATCTAATGCAGGTAAAAAGACATTATAATGGTGATAACAACTACTGTACTATATGGTATGGCAACCTGAAAATTATACCAATGATCTTATTTCACTATCACGATGACACTAGAAAATAGGTATTTAATCACTCCCATTTCACAGTGAAGGAAACAGGCTTATTTGCTCTAAAGGACACACATGATAAGCCCTGAATCAGAAAACAGCCCTTTGGACTCTAAATCTCCAAAGCCTGAATGCTAGAATGACAATGTGATCAAAACACTATGTGAATATTATTCAGCCTTAAAAAGAAAAAAATATTGCAGCCATAAAAAAGAATGAGTTCACGTCCTTTGCAGGGACATTGATGAAGCTGGAAACCATCATTCTCAGCAAACTAACACAGAAACAGAAAACCAAATACCACATGTTCTCGCTCATAGGTGGGAGTTGAACAATGAGAACACACGGACACAGGGAAGGGAACATCACATACCAGGGCCATGTCAGGGATTGAGGGGCAAGGGGTGGGAGAGCATTAAGACAAATACCTAATGCATACAGGACTTAAAACCTAGATGACAGGTTGACAGGTGCTGCAAACCATCATGGCACATGTATACCTATGTAACAAACCTGCACGTTCTGCACATGTATCCCAGAGCTTAAAGTAAAATAAAAATTAAAAATTAAAAAAAGAAAAAGTCTAAAAAAAGAAAGAAAAAATATACTACCATTTGCTACAGCATGGATGGAACAGCAGAACATTATGCTAAGTGAAATAAGACAGACATAAAGAACAATATTGCATGATCTCATGTGAAACCTTGTTTGTTTTTAACAAAAAAGTTAAAACATATAGAAATAGAGAATAAAACAGTGGTTACCAGGGTCAGAGCAGGGAAGGAAATGGGGAAATGTAGGTCAAAAGATACAAAGTAGCAAATACGTACAAATGTACAACAGGAGAACTACAGTTAATAATAATGTATTCAGGATTTTTTTTTTTGAGATAATGGTCTAACTCTGTTACCCAGGCAGGAGTATAGCCGCACAATCTCGGCTCACTGCAACCTCTACCTCCCAGGCTGAAGAAATCTCCCATCTCAGCCTTCTGAGTAGCTGTGACCACAGGTGCATGCCACCATGCCCAGCTAATTTTTTGTATTTTTGGCAGAGATGGGGTTTTGCCATGTTGCCAGGCTGGTCTAAAACTGCTGGGCTCAAGCGATCCACCCACCTCAGCCTCCCAAAGTGCTGGATTGACTATAGCTGCTCATGCCACAGGCCAAAAAAAAAAAAAAAGAAATAAAGAAAATAAAAAGGGTATCTATATGAAATGATGGATATATTACCACTATAGTAACCATTTTACTATATATGTGTGTGTGTGTGTGTGTGTGTGTGTATAATACCATCATGTTGTATACCTTAAATTTATACAAATAAAATTTATTAAAAAAAAAAACAAAACTACATGGAACAGGACAATTCCCCAAAGGAAAGAATTCTTTGCAGACAAAGCCAACATTAGCTATAATAGGGGTCAACAACGTAGACAGCCCCATTATTTACAGCCTGTGTCAGCAAACTACACCCTTTGGACCAAACCTGCCTACCAGCTGTTTCGTAAAGGCTTATTGGAACTCAACACACAAACAAACAAACAAAAACACGATGTGAAAAGAAAAGAGGTAGTGAATTTTGTTTGGGAAAAAGGAGGAGAGAATTGATTGTAAAAGTATTTGCTAGTGTGAACCACTCTAACAACTTCTTGTATAAAACATGGAAATGATAGCTTTCGTTTTATAGTCAAAGTTTTGTCACTAAATTCCCAGAGCAATCTAATTTTAAAATAAGCATCTGTTACTTTTCGTTATCATTGATAAGGTAGCTAAAATGTATTATGGCTCAATATATACAAATATATTGATATAAGCAGTTACATTAATATTAATCTAATAAGATGATATCTCATTAGAAAAGACAGTTTTTTTTTTCTTTTTTAACTCTAGTGCTTTCTGAAGAAAAAATACAGTTTTGAAAACAAATATGCTCCAGGGACTAAGGAAAACACAAACACACACAAATTTGTCTACTGTTAGGTTGAAATGCAAAAAGCTAAGCATCATCCCCTTTAAAAATTAAGACAGAAAAAATAAAATGTTCCTACTCTAAATCATAAAATAAGCATTTGGTCTGAAAGAGTCAGCATACCTGGGAACATTATTGTTTGAATCTTCACTTTCATTTGCCAGGCCACCAAACAAATAGCATTTGTTACCATATAAAGAGAAGCTATGTCCAAGCCGAGGACAAGGAGGTAAACCAGAAGAAGGGGGATGAGGTTTCACCTTTTTCCATAACCAACGACTTGCCTAAAAAAAAAAAAAAAAAAAAAAAAAAAAAAAAAAGAGCAAAAATACACTCAGGCAAAATCAGGAAAACACTCCTATACTGTCAGTAGCACAACACTGTATCAATACATTTTAATTAAAATCCCATCAGAAGGCTCTAATAAACTACTTTTGGGACAAATGACGAATAAGCAGCTAACTTCTGGAATTAAAATATTAAAATATATGTTCCAATAGACATTCAAATTACTCTTCCTTTATTCACAGATTTCCAAAATTGCAAACTAAGCATATAATAATAAACTCTAACAGTTCTAAAGTATTTTCCATATGAAAAATAAAGTATTATACATAGCTTCAGAATTAAATATAATTTATATATTCTTACTTTCTAAAGTTACATAATCCATGAATGGTGAATATTTTAACCTTTAAATAAATATAAAGCTCTTTAACAAATTAAATTCCAAAACTTATTCTCTGGCCATGGATGTTTTCTTTAGCTGAAATTATTTTTGCAATGAGTTGTTTGTAAATAGGTATAACCCATTCATGTCTGCTAATTGGATCCGGAAGAAAAGTCAACAAAGGCTATGAGTCTGGTTTAATAAAAGATTCAAATTTAGAAAGGTTATGGGAAACTATTACTACTCTTTTGTGTATCCTCAAGGTAGAGGGGATAGTGATTATTAGTATGGGGTAACAATTGTGTAAACACTAAAGCTGTGGTTTTCAAAGTATAGCCTAGGGGCTGGGAGTGGTGAATTTCCAAATGTAGAAAGTTTTATTCAAAGTTGTGATTCTGTCAGTTAATGCTGATGCCAACTATCCCTCTGTGAGTCCTGCAGTACTTAAGAACTTGAGGCAGGGCACAGTAGCTCAACATCTGTAATCTCAGCACTTTGGGAGGCCCAGGCAGGCAGATCACCTGAGGTCAGGAGTTCAAGATCAGCCTGGCCAAGATGGTGAAACCCCGTCACTACTAAAAAAAACAAAAATTAGCTGGGCAAGGTGGCAAGTGCCTATAGTCACAGCTACTGGGGAAGCTGAGGCAGGATAATCACCTGAACCTGAGAGGCGGAGGTTCCAATGAGCCAAGATTGCTCGGCTGCAGTCCAGCCTGGGCGACAGAGCAAGACTCCATCTCAAAACAAAATTAAAAAAAAAAAAAAAAAAAAAAAGAGGAAGACTCCCACTCAAAACAAAACAAAAAAAGTATACCCTAGAAACCAGGAGCATCAGCAGCTGGAAACTTGGTAGAAATGCAAATGCTCATGGCCCACTACTGACTCAGAAACTCTTGGGGTAGAACCCAGCAATCTGTGTTTTTACAGATCTTCCAGATGCTGCTGTTGCAGGCTAAAGTTTCTATTGCACTAAGATACAAAAACCTAAGTATATAACATGTACAACTGCTGCTAAGTAACAGAAATCTTGATGTTACAAATGTTACACTGGATATGGGAAAAAGACTTGCCCAGGAACTTTGGCTTTTAAGTGAAGTGGAAACATTTTCTACAAAGCTATAAAATGTGAAGCTTACATTATTTGAACAATGTTAAAATGTGTTAAACAATGTTAAAAATTTGAAATCTTTTTTTTTTTTTTTTAAGCTAAAGCTATGCTCTTGTTGCGGAGGCTAGAGTACAATGGCACAATCTCAGCTCACTGCAACCTCCACCTCCCAGGTTCAAGTGATTCTCCTGCCTCAGCCTCCCAAATAGCTGGAATTATAGACATGTGCCACCTGCTAATTTGTTTGTTTGTTTGTTTTGAGATGGAGTCTTGCTCTTTTCGCCAGGCTGAAGTGCAGTGGCGTGATCTCAGCTCACTGCAACCTCCGTCTCCCAGATTCAAGTGATTCCCCTGCTGCAGCCTCCTGGGTAGCTGGGACTACAGGCACGTACCACCACACCCAGCTAATTTTTTGTATTTCAGTAGAGACTGGGTTTCTCCATGTTCGTCAGGCTGGTCTCAAACTCCTGACCTCAGATGATCCACCCACCTTAGTGGTGGTGGGATTACAGTGTAATCCCACAGTGCTGGGATTACAGGTGTGAGCCACTGCACCTGGACAATTTTTCAATCTTTTGAAAAATTATGAGCAATATCATTATTAGAGCCTCAGAATGAAATAATATTAAATACACTTACTTGTAACTCATATAACTCATTGCTGTATCTTCCGTATTCAACCATTCCCCCAAATACTAATATTCTGGTACCATCACAGACAAATCCATGGGCAGCACAGCCTGGAGGGATATCTCCTCTAACAGCTGGGAGAAACCACTGATTCGTAGCTAGTTGCCAAAATAAAATTAAAACCGATTATAACAAACAACAGTTATCATATACTATCAGCGAGTACTTTATATATCACCAACATCAGTGGGTCTCAATTAAGGATGATTCTGCCCCTGGAAGACATCCGGTAATGTCTAGTGACATTTTTAGTTGTCATAACTGGAGGGGACTGTTACTGGCATCTAGTAGGTAGAGCAGGGATGCTATCAAACACCTTACAATGTACAGGGGCAATACAGCTTCCCCTGACCTTGACAAAGAGTTACCTGGCCCAAAAGGTCAATAGTACTGCTGTTGAAAAAACCCTGATCTTAATTCTTACAAAACCCCTGCTGGGTGAGTATAAAAATCTCCATTTTACAACTGAAAATTGTGAGGCTTAAAAAGGTTTAGTAACTTTAGCACTTACCCTAGGCAACTGTCAGAGCAAGATTCAAATCAAGTCTAATTTGTTCCAAAGCCAGAGTTTTCACACTAAGACCAAACTGTCAATAACTTTTTAACTTCATATGCTGGGGCGCTGGGAGGAGGAGAGGGTGGAAAAAAATTTTTCTCCGACTCCACTATTTTGTTAACCTTCAAATGATCACTGTGATTAAGTTCTGTGGTCAAAGAAAAGTTACCAGTCATGAAGTAGACCCCAAATTCCATAACTGTCTTTACACCAAAAAGATTTCTTGTGACAGCCTGAGCATTTACGGGGCAGGGCGGGGGTATTAAATTTCAGTCTCCTTTCTATTTCACAGAGGTCCTCAAAGAGAGGGGCTTCCTGCCCAGGGGCACCTGTGATCTGCAGTGGTGCTCAAGTTATGACAGTCCTCTTTCCCAGGGCCGGTCCAGAAAGGCGCCCACACCCACTATGCAGACACAAGGCCGCTTCACCACGTCCCCGCCGGTTTAGAGCGCGGCCCGTAGAGGGGATCTTGACCGTTACCTGCCAAACACCTGGCTGTATTTGAGGCGAGAGTGCCAGAAGGCCTCTCGTTTTCCCTCCTCACCCACTAGATGGTCTTCCTTCTAAGGAAGGCAGGCAGGCAAAGATAGCAAAGGCCCGAAGGAACTTTGGTTTGGGGTGGTTTTGTTTTTTGACAGGGGCGAGATTTCGGGGAGTGGTCCAGGCGGCTGGACATGGTCTTCTGTCACCTGCGTCCGCCAGCCGGGCTGAAGCGGGGAAGTCCAGGACTGCCTGCCTTTAGACCGGTGCGCCCCGCTTGGGGTCCGTTGCGCCCCGGGGACCCTGGAAACCCAGCGCTGCAGTCCGGGACGGAGCTGCGGGATCCGAGACGCTCGGCCGAGCCGCGCTCCCCGCCGCCCGCCCGGGAAAGCAGTGACCGGGCAGTGACAGCTGTCAGGGCCGCGGCCGCCGCCTCGCTTCCCCTCCCCCTCCGCGGCTCCGCAGGCGGGGCCGACCAGCCGCCGCCGCGCCTACCAGTGTTGTAGACGTGCAGCTCGTCCGCGATGCCCTCATTTCCCCCTCCAAAGATGATCATCAGCTCCCGGATAGCCACCGCTCGATGTCCGTGCCGGGCGCGGGGGACCGGCCCCGTGAAGGAAGAAACCCGCCTCCAGTTGAGGAGGCTGGGAGCCGCCATCTTCCCAACCCCCGCCCCTCTGCCCACAATGCACCGCGCCCGCCTCAACCCGCTGCTCCCCGGGGAGGGTGGGGACCCGCCTCCAGCTGGGCTGGGGTCACGTGACCGCGGGCTCCGGGTGCCAGGCTGGAGGCCCGCGGGGAGGGTAGAGACATTGGAGAAAGGGAGTCCTGACAGGGTAGCCCCGCCCCCACCCCGGCGACGTGGCCAGCGGCCACCCAGGGCAACACACCTTAGGGTGGAAGGACGCTTCCCACTGACCACATCTCTCGTCCCCACCCAGAGCCTCCCGTTCGGTATTTTGAGGAGAAGCCACAGCATCTTCCTTTACGTCCACTTTAATTGAGCATCTAGGATGTGTGGGCGAGGCAGTGTCACAGGCAACGTGAGAGAAGCTCGGGTAGAGATGCGAAGAGCTGGGAGCGCAGGGCGGGACCTCGCAGAAGAGGGTGCGGGCGGGAGCCTGCCTCGCAAGCCCGGGCCACTGGCGCCTCTCCGACCGTTACTGGGACCCGGGCAGGGAAGATCGCTGCAAAGCCTGCCAGGCGAACCGAGGGCAGCTTTGCGGGGAGCCATGCCAGGAAGCCTGGAAACCGTGAGCCACGAGAGGTGTTTTTGATTTGTTTGGCTTAAGCAGAGTGGAGATGGTTGGTAGGTTTCTGTTTCATTCCTAGCTAACAAGTGAGGGCTGTCCACAGCCAGGCACGCCCTAAATGCCTCACGTGTATTAACTCGTATAATCCATCCAACAATCCAGTGAGGTGGCTACTGTTATCTCCCTTTTATGAATGGGGAAATGAGGCACAGGGCAGTAAAGTAATTTTCTGATGGACACAAAGGAAAAGGGTTGAAGAAAAAGATTGGGGCCAGGATTCAAACACATGGCTTCTGATTCCCGAACCCCCAAACCGTTATACCATACACCATACTGCCCTGATAGCAATCATATCCAACCATTATACCATACTGCCTCTGAGAGCAGTCATATGCAACTCTTTATTTTTATTTATTTTAGACAGGGTCCGGCTCTTGTCACAGGAATACAGTGGCACGATCATAGCTCACTGCAAGCTCGAGCTCCTGGGCTCAAGTGATCCTCCTGCCTTGACCTCCCAAAGTGCTGGGACTGCAAGCATAAGCCACCGCACCCAGCCAATGCAACGCTTAATAAGGCCTAGCTGCTCTGTGATTTGATACTACACATAATCACACAAGTCCATTAGGAATAAAATTACACTGCATATAGGATTTATGCCAAATGAGTAAATTTTAGCTGCTCTTGCCCCAGAAACAAAAAATGGATTGGTGGTAACTATGTGAGATGATGGATATGTTAATGTGCTTTACTATAGTAACCTTGTGACTGTCTATATAAGTTATCTCCAACCTTTTTGGCACTAGGGTCCGGTTTCGTGGAAGGCAATTTTTCCACGTACTTGGCAGGGGGGTGGAGGGTATGGTTTCGGGATGAAACTGTTTCACTTCAGATCATCAGGCATCAGCTTCTCATAGGGAATACACAATTTAGATCCCTCCTATGGGCAGTTCACTGTAGGGTTCCAGCTCCTATGAGAACCTAATACGCTGCTGATCTGACAGGAGGCAGAGCTCAGGAGGTCTTGGGCTCTAGCCGGTGACTCATCTCCTGCTGTGCAGCAAGTTCCGAGCAGGCTGAGGACCGGTTGCTGGGGATTGGGGACCCCTAGTCTATATATCATAACATCAGGTTGTATACCTTAAATATGCACAATACAAGTTATTTTTTTAATTAATTAGAAAAGGACTGGGCACGGTGACTCACATCTGTAATCCCAGCACTTTGGGAGGTCAAGACAGGGGGATCCACTGATCCCAGGAGTTCCAGACCAGCCTGGTCAAGATGGTAAGATCTCATCTCTATTTTTATTAAAGAAAGATAAATAAATAGAGATAAATAAATCTCCACTGGAGATTTTTTTCTCCAGTGGAAGAAAAAATTGAAAGCAATTTAAATCCCTACCTCAGATTCTCAAGAGGTACTGAAAGGAAAACACATATACTATATAGCAAATTTCCTAAAACCCCTTTTTCTTCATCTTTTACCATTTTTAATTTCTCTTTTCACCCAACTCCCTTAAATCTCAACATGTCTCTCCACCGTTTCATCCATGTGAACTTCTTTTTGAAAGATAACCCTCTACCTTTTAAAAAGGAATTATCAGGCCAGGTGTGGTGGCTCATGTGTGTAATCCCAGCACTTTAGGATGCAGAAGAGGGTGGATCACCTGAGATCAGGAGTTCGAGATCAGCCTGGCCAACATAGTGAAACCCTGTCTCTACTAAAAATACAAAAATTAGCTGGGTATGGTGGTGCATGCCTGTAATCCCAGCTACTTGAGAGGCTGAGGTAGGAGAATCACTTGAACCTGGGAGGCAGAGGTTGCAGTGAGCTGAGATCATGCCATTGCATTCCAGCCTGGGCAACAACAGCAAAACTCTATCTTAAAAAAAAAAAAAAAAAAAGGAATTCTCACTATTTTTTTAGGTTCTGCTTCTTAAATTCTCCCTCTCACTGAGTATTAGCCCAATTTCATAATATGTCCAAAGAGAACTTGGAAAGGGAGGGGGAGATAAGATATCTGCAAACAGAAAAGAGGTCATGAATATTTATCTATAAATATTTTTCTTTGTCACATATATAACATGGGCTCTTAAATGTTGCCATAATAAAGTTTTTGTGAATCTGAAATAACACTGGAAGAGTTGGAATAAAGCAGTGAGCTTTTCATAAAACCCAAAGTGTTCATTTAAAGAACTGTATTTTGTTCTGAGTTTCATGTCTAGATGGTAGCTTTTTTTCTAATGCCCTTATAGCCCAAGATTAAGGGAAAAATCAAAAGTTGCAAACTGGCTGGGCGCGGTGGCTCACGCCTGTAATCCCAGCACTTTAGGAGGCCGAGACGGGTGAATCACGAGGCCAAGAGATCGAGACCATCCTGGTCAACGTGGTGAAACCCCGCCTCTACTGAAAATACAAAAATTAGCTGGGCATGGTGGTGCACACCTGTAGTCCCAGCTACTTGGGAGGCTGAGGCAGGAGAATTGCTTGAACCCAGGAGACGGAGGTTGCAGTGAGCCGAGATCGCACCATTGCACTCCAGCCTGGTAACAAGAGGGAAACTCTGTCTCAAATAAAAAAAAAAAAAAAAGTTGTTGCAAACCTAATGCTGAACTTCGAATTAAAAAAAAAAAAAAAAAAACTAGTCTCTGATATTTGGAAGCCTGAGAACCCTTGAACTAGGAGAAAAAATGAAGGCAAATTTTTTTTTTTTTTTTTTTTTTGAGACGGAGTTTCGCTCTTGTTTACCCAGGCTGGAGTGCAATGGCGCAATCTCGGCTCACCGCAACCTCCGCCTCCTGGGTTCAGGCAATTCTCCTGCCTCAGCCTCCTGAGTAGCTGGGATTACAGGCACACGCCACCATGCCCAGCTGAATTTTTGTATTTTTTTTTAGTAGAGACGGGGTTTCACTATCTTGACCAGGATGGTCTCGATCTCTTGACCTTGTGATCCACCTGCCTTGGCCTCCCAAAGTGCTGGGATTACAGGCGTAAGCCACTGCGCCCGGCTGAAGGCAAAATATTTTTTTTTTTTCTTTTTTTTTTTTTAAAGACGGGGTTTCACCATGTTGGCCAGGCTGGTCTTGAACTCCTGACCTCAGGTGATCCGCCTGACTCAGCCTCCCAAAGTGTTGAGATTACAGGCGTAAGCCACCATGCCCTGCCAAGGCAAAATATTTTTAAGACAAAAGAGATTGCAAGTTATAAGTGGTGGCTTAAATAAGGAGCTGCAGGGTGAGGAGGAAATGTGTTCTAGTTTCCTAGGGTTGCTGTGATAAAGTACCACAAATCCGGAGGCTTATAACAATAGGAATGTATTGTCTCACAGTTCTGAAGGATAGAAGTCTGAAATCCAAGTGTCAGTAGGGTCATGATCCCTCTGAAACCTGTAGGAGAGGATCCTTGCATGCCTCTTTCTAGCTTCTGGTGGCAGCTGTCAATCCATGGCAGCCCTTGGCTTGTCAGTGAGTCACTTCAGTCTCTGGCTCCATCATGATGTGGTATGTGGTATCCTCCCTGTATGTCTGTCTCTTTTTTTTTTTTTTTTTTTTTTTTTTTTGATACTGGGTCTAGCTCTGTCACCCAGGCTGGAGTGCAATGCACAATCTCAGCTTGCTGCAGCCTCCACCTCCCTAGCTTAAGCGATTCTCCCACCTCAACTTCTGGAGTAGCTTGGATTGCAGGTATGCACCACCATGCCTGGCTAATTTTTAAATTTTTTCTAGAGATGAGGTTTCACCATGTTTCCCAGGCTAGTCTCAAGCAATCCTCCTGCCTCAGCCTCCCAAAGTGCTGGGATTACAGGCGTGAGCCACTGCACCCAGCCTCTTCTCCACTTCTTGTAAATTCACTAGTTATATTGGATTAGGGCCCATCTTGATTTGATTATATATGCAAATACCCCATATCCAAATAAGGTCATATTCACAAGTACAGTGGGTTAAGACTTCAGCATATCTTTTGGGGGAGATACAATTCAATCTATGACAAAGTGCATAATCCAATGGGAAAGATATTTTAGTAGAGCAGTTTGGAGTAATCTCTCCTTGAGTGAGGCATCTAAAATAGGTCCTCATTTCACAATAAAGTACCTTCAATCTTTGAAACTATCAGAATAGAAACAACAACCTAGGAGAGTTTAGAGAAGAGGGATTGGAAAATAGCACCCTGAAGAAGCCAGCATTGATGGGGTAAAGACAGGGGGAGGCACTCATGAAGGAAATAGAGAATAGGGAGCCAGAGATGTTGAAAGGGAACTGGATGAGGGTGATGTCAAAGAAGCCACAGGCGAAGAGAGTTTCCTAGAGGCGGAAGCGATAATCAAAGCCAAAAGTCATAGGGAGGTCAGGAAGAAGAGGAAGAAGAAGCAACCGTTGGATTTGCAAATTAGGAGGTTAGTAGTGGCCTAGAATTAAAATGTTTTCAATGGAGTGGGAGGGAAATAAGCCAGAGAGAACTGAAGAATGAACGAGTTAGAAAGTGAGGATAACATGTATAGTCTACCGTTTACAGAAGCTTGGCCATGTAAAGAAAGAATAATGGCTGCGGAGGAGAGATAGGTACTGTGTAAATTGTTATTATTTTAGATGGTGAGACTTGAGTATTACTGTGGGCCCAGAAGAAGGATCCAGTTGGAAACAAAAAGGTTGGAATAGCATAGCCAGCAATCATTTCCAACCTTCTTCTCCTTGTCTGCCTCTCATTATTGAGGCTGTGAAGGAAAAACAAACAAACAAAAACAACAGATAAGCACTTTCCCAGACTACTGTACCCACTCTCCTTCAAGATGACCCCCAGTGTCTGCTCTCCTCTTCAGTAACAGAATCTGGACTATTAGCTGGACACATGACCATTCTAAATAAAAACTCATTTTCCAAATTTCTCTCAATTAGTTGTGGCCTAAGGCTAAATGTTGACCTATGAGTTATAAGCAAAAGTAATGTGTATAATTCCAGAATGTGTTCTGGAGGAGGGAACCTTCCTTTCCCTTAGTCTTTTCTGCTGGCTGGAA